CCCACCGCCATGGCCTCATCCGAAAACAAAATGTTTGCTCCCAAGAGGCTGGCCCTCCAGTTTTTTATGGATGAGGTTGCGATTCCCTAATTCCCGGCTTGGCACCCCGTGCCTCCACAATGTGTCACATGTCCGCGATATTGTGGAAAGGCACTGTATGGATGGATTCTTCTTGGATTTCACTGATAAGTCGCAACACAAGCAAACTCAAACGGATCAAAAGGCTCTCATATCTCGTATACCCAAATACGATCCAGGGCATGTAGAATAATCACGCAATTGGTCTCCCTCCAGATCCACACCCTCCACGGTGTGGTTCCCCTTGCACATGGACTGGAAAATAAGAACCCACACAAATCAGCAAAGATCATATGTGGTAACAACAGTTACAATTTCCACACATGTACGAATCATGTGACTTACCAGTGAAGCAGAGGCGCCAAGCACATCACAAGGCTCTGGTGAGATGGGAACACACACAGGGCGATTCTCTTTACGCCAGTCGATCTCGAAGGCGTGTATAACAGCTACTGCCATGGAATACCCGTCAATACCCGCCAGGCCTAGAGCCACCCAGCCAAAGGAGGAGAAGTCTGAAATGAGAATGCGATCCCTGTGCGGAAGAAAAGTCGGTGTGTGAGGACGGGAAGAAAAGGCGATATTATCTATGCCAGCCGATCTCAAAGGTGTGTATTACATCCACCACAATGGAATACCAGCCAATACTGGCCAGGCCCAGGGCCACCCAGCCAAAGGATGAGAAGTCCGAAATGAGCATGCGGTCTCTGTAAAATGGGCGCTGGTGCGCAAGGAGGGGAAGAAAGGGAATACTGTAGACGAAAAAGACACTAGGCATGAAGTGAATTGCTGGTTTTGTCACTAACCAGACGAGAAAGTTGCAAGGGATACAGTAGACGAGAAGAGATTTAAAAAATCTACAGAAGAGAGGATTGTTGTGAAGAAAAATGGGAAATCGAGTCGGGAAGCGGACAGTATGTTACGTGCGTGGAAGCGAGCCATACTTCTTCTTGTTGCAAATTCTCGTTTTAGAGGAAACAAAGTGCATGTTTGTAAAGAAAGGAACTCCAAAAGCAAAGGAACGCACGAGAAGCTGAGGAGCCACATCTCCATGACAGCAAACTCGAACTGTGTGTCAGTCCACTTCTCCGCCCGCTGATCGCTCAACCTGACGGAAGGCAGAGTGGTGGAGAGGCAAACACAACCAAAGTCACATTTTTGATCGCTCAACCTGACAGGTGGGAGGAAAAGGAAACGCATGCATCCACACACCAAGGAAGCACAGGGTTTGCATGTGCTGTGCACAACGAACACAATCTGCATCATGCAACTTATATGTACACATAAAAATGTGTGTAGTTATCCATGTGAATGTGTGTACGCACTATAGCCATGAGGGTGTACTCACGTGCAGAAGCTGAGGAGGGTGCTGTCGTGTGCACCGTGCAGGGCGTATCGACCCTGCATGTCCATCCAGTGCTGCGCACTCAAGGACGCGACCACCACTCCCACCGTCCCTTCCTCTCCCTCTACCTCCAACCCTCCTTCCCCCCCCGTTGTTTCTTGGCCGGTGCTGTTGGCTGGCAGTGTCTGGAAGGGGGCGATTGAATAGGGTCGGGAGGAAGGAAGAGGGTAAGGACGAGGGAAGGAATGTTGTGTGCGCCGTGCAGGGCGTATCAGCCTTGCATGTCCATCCAGTGCTGCGAGCTAAGTGACGCCACCACCACCACCACCGTCCCCGTCTCTCCATCCAAACCTCCTTCCCCAACACCGTCCCCTCCTTTCTCAGATAGGTAGGGAGGAAGAAGGATGAGGGAAGGGGAATCATGTGCGCCGTGCAGGGCGTATCAGCCTTGCATATCCATCCAGTGATGCGCGTTCAGAGATGCCACCACCACCACCACCACCACCAGACAAACCAGAACCAGACAAACTAGCTTGATGTATTGCATTGGTATATCCAATGAAGGACCATTTGAAACAAAACATAACTGGTACGAGAGAGGGCGATCCGGTTCAAGGGCGAGCTTGCTACAATCACAGACTCACGGTAAGGGAGAGGAGAAAGCCAGCACAAGAGACAACTTTCGAGGCGCCTTTGTAACGAGTTGACTTTTGAGTCGACTCAAAAGAGGCGATTTTCGAGTCGACTCGAAAGTCAGGACGATCCAGTTCAAGGGTGGGCTCGCTACAATCACAGACTTACGGTAAGGGAGAGGAGAAAGCCAGCAGAAGAGACAACTTTCGAGGCGCCTCAAAAGTAGCACAAGGAGATCGAGAGCGCAAGAAAGCTGACCTGGTTGGAGGAGCCAATCGTTGGGAGGTACCGTGCCACGTCAGCAGCACATGAGAGGACGCGGTCAGCCAATGGGAGATTAATTCCGAGTGCTGACCGGATCTGAGGAGGGCAGCACATGAAGGCATGGGGAGGAGGGAGAAGAGGAGAGGGGGGAAGAGCGGAAGGGCGGCAGGGAGAGGGGAGGAGAGGGGTCGAGAGGAGAGGCGACGGGGGGAGAGGTGGGAAGAGAGGGGGCGAAGAACAAAGGAAACGGGGGGAGTGGAGGAAAGGGAATGACTGATTAGTCCATGAGGTAGGGAGGCTCCCCATGCCGTTCACCTTGGACTTTGGGAGGGAATTAGGCTGTTAGATGCACCTCACTGCACCTCATTGCAACTTTCTGCACTTGACAGTGCCTCACTGCAATGGGAGCGATATTAGTCAACTCCAAATTGACTTCAGTGCACCTTCTTGCATCTCACTCCACCTCACTGCACCACAGAGCACCTCCTAGCATCACCTGAATGCCGACTTGGTGCGAGTGGTGCGCCAGGTTGGCCTGGAACAGACGAGTGGTCGGCAGTCACAATCACCTCAGTATGCCAGCTGTACCTCTGCACCTCTCTGCACCTTCCTACACCCCTCTGCACCTCGTTTCATCTCATTCCACCACAGAGCACCTCGCTGCAGTACCTGAATGCCGACTCGGTGGGAATGGTGCGCCAGATTGGCGTGGAAAAGACGAGTGATTGCCACAATCACCTAACTATGCCACAACTGTACCTCTCTGCACCTATCTGCATCTCATTTCATCTTATCCCATCTCAACGCATCACACTGGAGTTACCTGAATGCCGACTCGGTGCGAGTGGTGAGCCAGGTTGGCATGAAAAAGACGAGTGATCCGCAGTCACAATCACCTCAGTATGCCAGCTGTACGTCCCTGCACCTCTCTGCACCTCTTTGAACCCCTCTGCACCTCTCTTAACCTCGTTTCATCTCATTCCACCACAGAGCACCACACTGCAGTACCTGGATGCCGACACGGTGCGAGTGGTGAGCCAGGTTGGCATGAAAAAGACGAGTGATCGCCGCCCAGAGCCGGTTGTCGGGGTGCAGAAGAAACCGAGCAGTGTGAGTCAAGACTCGGTGGTCGGGGAACAATGTATTCAGTGCTGCCTGGTGGGTGGGGAAGAGGAGCGAGTGAGGAAAAGAGCAGGTAGGAGAGAGAAATCGAGCGGTGTGAGTCAAGACACGATGGTCGGGAAATAATGTATTCAGAGCTGCCTGGTTTGTGGGCAAGGAGGGTGAGAGGTGGCAAGGAGGGTGAGAGGTGGCAAGGAGGAAGTGAGTCCCTCGCGTCAACATGGGGTGGTTAGTCGGAGAATAGGCGGTTCATAGTCGATCTTTGAGTTGATTCGTGAGTCGGAAAAAAAAAAAAAAAAAAAAAAAAAAAAAAACACGTTGGGTGGAGAATGGGGGGCTGCAAGCTGCCTTGAAAGTGGGGAGGTGGAGAGAGGGAGGTGGGGAGGGGGGAGGAGGGCAGGATTCCTCCTGGGCTCGATTAAAACCACAAGAAAAATGGATGTATATCTATGCATGTATGTATGGTTACATAGGCATGAATTACAAAAAGAGGCTTACAGTGTATGTGGGGAGGTAGTAAAGGCTGGGCACGAAGTAGACGTCGATCGCCATGCTCCAGAACACAGCTGTGTTGATGCCCTCCCATGCGTCTGTGCAGAAGGTGTGCGCGCCTCTGTGTGGGTACAAGCACACGGACAAGGGAGGGAGATAAACACACAGGAACCGGTGCAGATAAAGAGGTAGACATCAATCGCCATGCTCCAGAACACAGCTGCGTCGATGCTCTCCCATGCATCTGTGCAGAACGTATGGGCGCCTCTGGGTATGAACACACAGGCCGGGGAGATACACATACGCACACACACACAGTAATGGGTATAGATGGAAAGTAGACATCGATCGCCATGCTCCAGAACACAGCTGCGTTGATGCCCTCCCACGCGTCCGTGCAAAACGTGTGCGCGCCTCTGCACCGGTACACACACATTTATTATGTGCAGATAAAGAAGTAGACATCGATCGCCATGCTCCAGAACACGGCTGTGTTGATGTCCTCCCATGCATCTGTGCAGAACGTGTGCGTGCCTTTACGCGTGGGTTCGTAGTTACAAACGCAGGGGCAAGGGAGAAACACACAACGAACAGGAATGGGTTGGGTGCAGATAAAGAAGTAGAGATTAATTGCCATGTTCACAGTGTGGTTGCGAATCAGAGCAGCCACCACTTCCCATTTGGGAGCAGCATCCCACCCCGCCTTTTTCCCACAGTGCCACCCCACCCCACCCCCCTCCGCCCCCCTCCCCTCACCTGCCCGCCAGGTGAATGTTCACAGTGTGGTTGCGAATCAGCGCAGACACATCTTCCCTTGGGAGCAGCATCCCATCCCACCAGTCTCTCCTTCCTTCCCACGGGGTCCCACCGCACTCCACCCCACCTCACCATCCCCCTCTCCCCCCTCACCTGCCCGCCAGGTGAATGTTCACAGTGCAGTCGCGGATCAGCGCAGCCACCTCTTCCCTTCCCCCCCAACTTGAGGGCAGCAACCCCACCCCACCTTTTCCCACGGTGCCACCCCACCCCACCCTACCCCACCCCACCACCCTCCTCTCCCCCTCACCTGCCAGCCAGATGGATGTTCACAGTGTGATTGCAAATCAACGCAGCCACCTCTTCTCCCGACAGCTCCAACAGTCCATCCCCCCCTGCTGCTCCTCCCCCTCCTGCTGCTGCGCCCTCTGCTGCTCCCCCTGCTGCTCCTGCTGCTCCTGCTCCTGCTGCTGCTCCTCGCTCGGCATGGTACTTAACTATGTCTTTAAACTCCAGCGTTCGGTTCTTAACCACGCCAATGAACGAGCTGCAGCAGGAGAGGAGGGAAAGGGGGGAGTTGATTTGTTAGGCCCCTCACAATTCCGTCACCCCCCCGTGTGGTATCAAACTACGTCTTTAAACTCCAGCGTTCGGTTCCAAACCACGCCAACAAACGACTTGCAGCAGAGAAGAGGGGCTAGACAGACAACTGCTTCAACTGTATCTAGAAAGGACCCTGACCAGGAATAGAAAAGGTCATCTGCCTGCATAACCCATTTACGCTAATGTCTGGTCTAGGAGGGGGCAACACGCACCTGTGAACAGGCCACGAGGTGGAGTTGCTGAAGGGGTTGCAGAATCGCGTTGGTTGAGGGGCCTTACATCGTGCATGTCTCACCTCTCCCCAGCACTGAGTATTCACCTCACCTGTGAGCAGCCCAGGGCAGCGTCCAGGAGTTGGAGTTGCTGAAGGGATTGCAAAATCGGCGGATGACAAAGGACCAGGGAGTGGTGATGATGGCCCGCTGTGTGATGATGGCTCGGTGGTTTATGATTCAGAAATGTCTGGTCTGGGGTGAGGAAGAGCTCACCTATGCACGGGCCAGGGCAGCGTCCAGGAGGTGGTGCTGTTGAAGGGGTTGCAGAAGCGGCGAACCACAAAGGACCAGGGAGTGGTGATGATGGCTCGGTGGGTTATGAGCGCGAGCACAAACGCATTCACATGGTTGACCAAGCGGTTGCCCAGGCCTGTTAGAAATGAACAAGAGAGGGAGGTGTGGGAGGGGACAAACAGACAATGAAGCACCAGGGCGTGGTGATGATGGCTCGGTGGGTTATGAGCGCATTCACATGGTTGACCAGGCGGTTGCCCAGGCCTGTTAGAAATGAACAAGAGAGGGAGGTGTGGGAGGGGACAAACAGACAATGAAGCACCAGGGCGTGGTGATGATGGCTCGGTGGGTTATGAGCGCATTCACATGGTTGACCAGGCGGTTGCCCAGGCCTGTTAGAAATGAACAAGAGAGGGAGGTGTGGGAGGGGACAAACAGACAATGAAGCACCAGGGCGTGGTGATGATGGCTCGGTGGGTTATGAGCGCATTCACATGGTTGACCAGGCGGTTGCCCAGGCCTGTTAGAAATGAACAAGAGAGGGAGGTGTGGGAGGGGACAAACAGACAATGAAGCACCAGGGCGTGGTGATGATGGCTCGGTGGGTTATGAGCGCATTCACATGGTTGACCAGGCGGTTGCCCAGGCCTGATGGGGGTGGGAGAGGTGAGGTGGGGTTGGGGAGGGTGGAGAAGGGGGAGAAGGACCAGGGCGTGGTGATGATGGCTCGGTGGGTTATGGGCGCGAGCACGAACGCATTCACATGGTTCACTAACTGGTTTCCCAGGCCTGATTGGGGGGGTGAGCAGGGCGAGGGGTGTGGAGAGAGGGGAGAGAGGGAGGAGGGACGGAAAGAGAAGACACCGGAGAAGGACCAGGGACGTAGATGTATTAGCACGGCTTCCTGTCTTGTCCGTGGTGGGTTTTTAGTGGATTCAAAAGAATAGAAGTGGGGAGCGGAATGGAGGCGGGGGAAAGGGGAATGGGGTAGTAGGGAGAGAAGAAGGGGGAGAGACTACTGGCACGGCCTCCTGTCTCCTCTGTGTTGGGTTCTTTTATTATGAGTGAGGGGAGAGGTGGAAAGTCACGGGTGGAGTGGCGGAAGGGGGGAAGTGAAGAATGGGGAAGACACCCACCTCGGGGGAAGGGAGGGACGTAGATGTACTGGCATAGCTTCCTGTCTGGTCCGTGGTAAGTCCTTTCACTAGAAATGAGGAGAGGGGTGGAAAGTCGCGGGTGGGGTGGAGGGAGGGGAGGGAGATACCTCGCGGGAAGGGAGGCACGTAGATGTACTGGCATGGCTTCCTGTCTGGTCCGTGGCGGGTTCTTTCAGTAGCAGCGAGCAAACAGGTGGAAACTCGCGGGTGGGGTGGGGGAAGAGTGGCAGAGGGGAGAGACTGACCTCGGGGGAAGGAAGGCACGTAGATGTACTGGCATGGCTTCCTGTCTGGTCCGTGGTAAGTTCTTTCACTAGAAGTGAGGAGAGGGGTGGAAAGTCGCAGGTGGGGTGGAGGGAGGGGAGGGAGATACCTCGCGGGAAGGGAGGCACGTAGATGTACTGGCATGGCTTCCTGTCTGGTCCGTGGTGAGGGAAGGAGGAAGGGGGGAGGGACAGGGGTGGGGTGGGGTGGGGTAAATGGGTGGGGCGGGGTGGGGTGGGGGTAAAGGGGGAGATACTGACCTCGGGGGAGGGGGCTTCCTGTCTGGTCCGTATCGGGTTTGGAGTGGATATAGACGAATAGAAGTGGGGGGAGGAAGAGAGGCGGGGGGACAGGGTAGAAGGTACTAGGGAGAAAAGAAAGGGGAGAATACCCACCTCGGGGGAAGGGAGGGACGTAGATATACTGGCACGGCTTTCTGTCTGGTCCGTATCGTGGCCTGTCCTTTTCCCTGTTGGCGTGGGCAGGCGCATGGGTGCATGGATGGATGGATGGATGGATGGATGGGTGGATGGATGGATGGATGGATGGATGGATGGATGGATGGATGGATGGATGGATGGATGGATGGATGGATGGATGGATGGATGGATGGATGGATGGATGGATGGATGGATGGATGGATGGATGGATGGATGGATGGATGGATGGATGGATGGATGGATGGATGGATGGATGGGTGGATGGATGGATGGATGGATGGATGGATGGATGGATGGATGGATGGATGGATGGATGGATGGATGGATGGATGGATGGATGGATGGATGGATGGATGGATGGATGGATGGATGGATGGATGGATGGATGGATGGATGGATGGATGGATGGATGGATGGATGGATGGATGAGTGCAAGGATGCATGGGTGCATTGATGCATGCATGGGGCCATGATTCCATGGGTGCACGTATACAAGAATACACGTGCAAATATGGATGCATATACACAAGCATGCCTGCACACACTCGCGCACTCCAAGCACTCACCAGTCACCACTCCGCACCCATTCCCACTCCTCTCTCTTTCCAGTCCCCATACACTCCCTCTGCATCGCCTCATGCGCCCGCACTGCTGCCTGGAACGCTGCTGATGGGGGGTCCGGGTTTGCCTGTGTAGGAAGGGGTTGAGGGGTTGAGGGTTGGGAGGAGAGGAGGGAGGGGAAGAGGGGGTTTGAGAGAATAAGGGAGAGGACAAGCAATCGAGCCCTGAGTAACATGCATGCAACCCTCTGCATCTCCTCATGCGCGAGCGCTGCTGCCTGAAACTCTGCTGATGGTGGGTCCAGGTTCGCCCAACACATGCGCTCACTGATTCTCTTCTCACCGTGTGGTACAGGTGTCGCTCCTCCTTGCTCCAGCACGCACCCTCACTCCTCCGCCTCATTGCACTCCTCGCTGCCACTCTGTCAAACCTCGACCCCTGCCTGTAGCTCGGCCTCCCACCACCGCCCTCGTTCACCCCCGCCTGTCCCTCCGTGTCTCACTCACAATTGCGCATAACCGCTCACTGATTCTCACCGTGTGGTACAGGTGCCGCTCCTCCTTGCTCCAGCACGCGCCCTCTTTCCTCCGCCGCACAGCATCCATCGCTGCCACTCTGTCGAATCTCGACCCCTGCCTGTAGCTTGGCCTCTCATCACCGTCCGCTTTCACCCCCGCGCTTCCCTCCGCCTTTCCCTCCGCGTTTCCTCGGGAGGTCACTCCCGGTATGACTTCCCAGTCTCCTCTCTGCCAGTGCTCCCCAACCCGACCTCGCTCCTCCTGCGTCCTCTCTCCCTCGTTTCTGTTCTGCTGACCCTCTACCGTCGTCGAGTTTGCCTCTGGACTTCTCTCGTCCGGACTTCTCTGCTCCTGCCGTACCGCTTGCGCCTCCGTCTCACCCGCCGCTTCCCCCGGCGGCGGTTGCGCTTGCTGCGACGGCGGCATTGGCGCTTTCTGCGGCGCCGTCGGCGCTACGTTCTCCTCTGATCCCAACGCCTGATCCAGCGCATGTTCATCCGCCCACACCTGTCCTACTCTTTGCTCTTGATTCAATACCTTCCCCTGATTCATCACCTTCCCCACACCTTGTTCGTTGCCTTGCGATTGCTGCTCATCCTGATCGTGCTGTTGCTGCTGCTGCTGCTTTTCCTGTTCCTGCTGTTGTTGTTCCTGATGCTGCTCTCCCTGCTGCTGCCGTTCCTTCTCCTGCTCCAGCTGCAATGATTGTGCCTGCGGTTTGGCTGCCCCTTTAACGAGGAAATCACCCAGGACTTTATCCGGCCCGGCTTCTGCGAATAAGTAGAACCCTAGACGCCTCCTGGGGATCAAGGCTTTAAGCTCGGATTGCGCTGGAGACTCGCCATCTCGTGGCGACTGAATTGCGACAGGCTGATTCGCATGAAACGTGTGGAATAGACGGGAAAATCACGTGCGGAGTAGACGGGAAAACAATGTGTGGTTACGCGGGAGAAGAACGTGTGGACGAAAAATAATGAAAATGGCGAGGAGTTGCTTATAAAATCAACTGTAAGGGCCTTGAATTATATTAGCGACAGCAAGGTTAGAACATAGATGGAACGCCGACGCGCAACAGGATACACTGAAAGCACTGAACACGCTATCGTCCCTGATGAGACAAGACAGCATCGCGTATATGATCTAAGACATACCTTGGCGTTTGCGTAGCGACGCACGAACAGCGTAAGTGAGAGAGTGGCGACGAGTAATCGGCACTGTATTCGCGTAAATATCGGCCATTGTATTCGTGTTGATGATCGCCAATGCATTCGCGGATGCAACCGCCTCTGCATGCTGCTTGCTGGATGACTGGCTGCTACAACTGCATCAACAGAGATAGCTCTTAATAGTGTCGGCATTGTTGTCGGTGCCTAGGACGATAACTGTGAAGAGGCAGACGTATAACGCGCATGGCGTGAAATATTTCAACTGCGGTGAGACGCCTGAAATTGCGGGGGCTATCGATTTAACCTAATGTTGTCATCCGCTAATAATCCAGCAAGGCAATCAACTCCCAAGCTTATTTTCTAATATGTCTTTGAAGGATCGCTGAACGACTTAGTGGCTAAAGCCTAGTAATCGGTTTTGGTTTTGGTAAACGAGGTACTGCGCGACACGTCTTCTACCAGCACGAGTTGACAGGGGTTTGCTGGGGGGTGGTGCTGGTGTTGAGGAGCTTGATATACCAGTTTTCACCAAAACGGTTCAATAGGGTATATTACGTTCTAAAGCGTCTCTGCGTCGGTCTGAAACCGTTGGAAAGGCTTGTCAAATTTCAACAAGCAGTTCCAAAAGCCACTGCAGAAGACTTTTGGTTCGGACCTTGAGAACTGCGTTTTTGGTTGGGGGAGCTGGTTTGCCAAGGAATTGGTGGTTTGGTTGGGTTTGCTTGGCTAGGGAGAAGTTGCCAGTGAGATACATGCGAAGCAATGCTGCCCAATCCCGTCACAGACGAGGGGCGCTGAGTTTCCTCGCTGGGCGGTGGGTGGGACGTTGATTGGCTGGGCTGGGCGCTGTGTTTGTTCGCGCTGCGACAAGGACGACGCGCAGTGCGGTGCGGCAAATCTGCCTGGTGTGATAAAAACGATGGGCTGGGTCACGCTCATCTTCGTTATAGATGGTCTATCGCTAACAGTATCTCTGTGGAAGATTAATCGAATATTAGTATCTGCCCAACAAATGCAACGAGGCATGATGATAATGATATAATTTACATAGTAGCAATAACAACAATAATAATACTAGTAAAGTTTGCTCTGCTAACCAATGAGCTGAAATGACTTATATGAAGGGATGGGCAATGCCCAGCACTCCTTCAACAGTCAGGTCCTTCTAGAGCAGGAAAGAAAGATGAGCACAAGCAGGCATCATACCATAATCAACCGCCTTAACGTGGTCCTGAAATATCGAGGGGCATGTAGCTTTCACTAGAGTCCGAAACAACGTGATCCGGTACGGGCATATCAGGAGGTTGCAGCCCGTCCTCCAGGCCTGTGTTGTGCCACAGCTGCCACCGACACGCCAGGCCCGTGCCCTGCAGCATCGTCACACACTCGCTCATGGTGGGGCGATCTGCAGGGGACTGCTGCAGACAGAGGAGAGCCACCTGCAGGAAGACCTGTGGAAGGGAGGGGAGGAGGAGAAGCGAGAGGCGGGAGGGAAGGGATGTAGTGAGAGAGTCTGGGGACACGGTACAGTGTGGGGTTGGACAGATCTGGGCATCTGGGCATATCAGGAGGCTGTAGCCCGTCCTCCAGGCCTGTGTTGTGCCACAGCTGCCACCGACACGCCAGGCCCGTGCCCTGCAGCATGGTCACACACTCGCTCATGGTGGGCCGGTCTGACGGGGACTGCTGCAGGCAGAGGAGCGCCACCTGCACGAACACCTGTGGAAGGGGGGGGGAGGGTGGTGACATGTCAAAAGAGTTCAGGGTCAAGGGTGGTGATAATGTGATGAAAGGGACAGGTTTTGGGGTTAGACAAACAAACCATCCTTACCTGCACTTCCTGAGGGTCGCAGTCAGCCGGGTGGGATCGGATCTGAACGTCTACCAGCGTCGCCACATGCCCCTGCTGCATCTCACAACTCGCTGTGGCTCTCACCAGCTGGTCACTCCCCAGGTCCCACCCCTCACTCCTCACCTGCACTTCTAGGGGATCACAGTCAGCCGGGTGGGATCGAATCTGCACATCCACCAGCGTCGCCACATGCCCCTGCTGCATCTCAAATGCTGCATCTCCCCCGTCACCCACTCCTTGCCTTGCCCCATCCCAAACCCACCCTCTTACCTCTGTCTCTAACCAAACAACTTCCCAGCACCCAGCCAACCCCATCCTCACCTGCACTTCTAGTGGGTCGCAGTCAGCCGGGTGGGATCGGATCTGCACATCCACCAGCGTCGCCACATGCCCCTGCTGCATCTCCCCCGTCACCCACTCCCACAGCGACATCTCATCCCCTTCCTCCTTCTCACCCTCCGTTTCCCCCTCCTTCCCCCTCCCCTCCCCCTCCTTCTCCCCCACCCCAACTCTCTCTTCATTCTCCTTGCCTCCTCCTTCCTTCTCCTCCACTACTCTCCCTTCCCTCTCCGTTCTGCCCTCCTCATCCTTACCCTTCCCCCCTCCTTCTCCCCCTCCTTCTCCTCCTCTCCCTCTGTCTCTGTCTTCATGTGTGGGATTAGGTGAACGTTGGCCCATGGGCAGGTCGAACACGCTGCAGCCAGCAACGAGCTCCACTAGCAGAACGCCAAAGCCAAACACGTCAGTTTTCTCAGACCACTTGCCCGTATTGTAGAGCTCTATAAAGGGTTACAAGGGGAGGAAGGGGCAAATACGTATTGCCTTAGTTGCACGTTGGCCCATGGGCAGGTCGAAAACGCTGCAGCCAGCGACAAGTTCAACTAGCAGCACACCGAAGCCAAACACGTCAGTTTTCTCAGACCACTTGCCCGTATTGTAGAGCTCTATAAAGGGGTACAAGGGGAGGAAGGGGCAAATACGTATTGCCTTAGTTGCACGTTGGCCCATGGGCAGGTCGAAAACGCTGCAGCCAGCGACAAGTTCAACTAGCAGCACACCGAAGCCAAACACGTCAGTTTGATCCGACCACTTGCCAGTATTGTAGAGCTCTATAAAGGGTACAGGGGGAGAAGGGGCAGACAAATTTGCCTTAGGTGTGCGTTTGCCCATAGGCAGGTCGAAAACGCTGCACCCAGCAACAAGTCAACTAGCAGAACGCCAAAGCCAAACACGTCAGTCTTCTCCGACCGCTTGCCGGTATTGTAGAGCTCTATAAAGGGGATAGGAGGAGAACAGGATCAAAAGAACAAGACGGAGACAGATATGAGACGGTGAGAACCTTACATGGCAGAAGGCTCCGCGGAAAGATGTCGATGCGCTCCAATGGCTCGTTCACTGTTTGTCACAAACAAGTTACCACCTTACAAGGCTAATGAAGGTGTTTACCTGGAGCGAGGTGGCCTAGCGTTCCCCGCACTGCTGCACTGGGTCTGTTTCCCCTGGCAGCCGAGGGTATTACGTCAACTTCCACCAGCTTTGACAGGCCAAAGTCGCAAATGACCGGGTCGTTGTCCTCCGTTAGAAGCACATTCTCGGCCTGATAGAGGGGGAAGGGAGACAGAGATAAGAGGAGGGTTGGATGGGGACAGAGAGATAGACATGAAGGCAAGGGAAAGAAGAGGAGAGAATGAGAGGTTCCGGGCGGGCCAAAGTCGCAAATGACAGGGTCGTTGTTTTCAGTTGAAAGCACATTCTCGGCCGTTGAGGTGGAAGAGTGGGGAGAGGAGGGAGACGGCGGGAGCGGGACAGAGGAGGTATGGGAAATTGATCAAGGCAAGGCCAAATTCGCAAATGACCGGGTTGTTGTCTTCTGTTAGAAGAACATTTTCGGCCTTGAAGCGGGGGAGGAAGGGGAAAAAGGGGGGGGTGGGGGGGGGGGGAGGGGGGGAGGGGGGAAGGGGGGGGTGAGGGCCTGTTGCCCTCACTATCTCGCTCTTACTCTTGCCCACTCGCCCTTGCTCACTCTATCACTCTTACTCACACTCATCCCCTCTCTCCCTCACTCACCTTCATATCACAGTGAATGAGCCTGGGAGTGCAGTCAGTGTGCATGTATGCCAGCCCCTCAGCTATTCCCAGCACAATCTTCCTCCTGTGCTTCCACGTCAGCGGTGTTTTGTCGTCTCTCATCCTGCCACCTGGCGTGTGTGTATTGGCACGTTGGGGCGAGGAGAAGAGAGGGAATAGCCAGATTTTGGAGAGAGTTTCTTAGCAGTCAGCACCAGGACAGACCATTGCACGCCCTGCCAGACCACTGTTGGTCCTACCCCACCGCACCCAACCACTCACCTTTGAGGTAATTGGCAACGAAGCCATGAGGCAGGAATGGGAATACTAGTTCCCGCTCGCCCCTTTCCACACAGAAGCCCCCCAGGCGCAGCAGGTTGCAGTGCGAACGCCCTGCTACACCGCTTCGTGCCCACCGCACCGAACTTAACCACTAACCTCACCTTTGAGATAATCAGCAACGGACCCATGGGGCAGGAACGGGAAGACCAGCGCGCACTCACTCCTCTCCACTCAGAAGGCCTCCAGGCGCAGCAGATTGCCATCCGGTGCAGACGCCCTGCTACACCACTGCCTTCCCTACTCCACCGCACCCAACCACTCACCTCACCTTTAAGATAATCAGCAACGGACCCATGGGGCAGGAAGGGGAAGACCAATGCCCGCTCGCCCCTCTCCACACAGAAACCCTCCAGCCGCAGCAGATTGCGGTCCCGTGCAGACGCCCTGCTACACCACTGCCTGCCCGACTCCACCGCACTCAACCGCTAACCTCACCTTTAAGATAATCAGCAACGGAGCCATGCGGTAAGAAGGGGAACACGAGTGCCCGCTCGCCCCTCTCCACACAGAAGCCCTCCAGACTCAGCAGGTTGTGGTGCAGACGCCCCTACACCACTGCGTGCCCTACTCCACCGCACTCAACCGCTCACCTTTGAGGTAGTCAGCAACAGACCCATGGGGTAGGAATGGGAACAGGCGCAGTAGGTTGCAGTGCACAGCCCTGGCAAACCACTGCACCCTACCTAACCGCTCACCTTTGAGGTAATCAGCAACGGACCCATGCGGTAGGAACGGAAACACCAGCGCCCGCTCGCCCCGCTCCACACAGAAGCCCTCCAGGCGCAGCAGGTTGCGGTGCACGGCACCGCTGATGGCATTCACCTCGTTTATAAACGCTTCTTCACTGCCCCGCTTCTCTTTCTGGGGGTGGGGAGAGGGGAGGGGCAGGGGAGGGGCGGAGGGGGGGCAGAGGAGGAGCAGGGGAGGGGACCCATGTATGCAGACCAAAGCAGGTTGCGGTGCACAGCACCACTGATGGCATTCACCTCGTTTATGAATGCCTCCTCGCTGCCCGGCCTCTCTTTCTGTTCCAGGGGAAGGGATGAGCCAGTAAGGGAGAGGAAGACGAGCAGGGGGGAAGTGGGAAGGCTGAATTAGGGACCCTTCCCGGTGCAGCAGGTGGCGGTGCACGGCGCGCTGATGGCATTCACCTCGTTGAGAAACGCCTCCTCGCTGCCCCGCCTCTCTTTCTGGGATAAAAGCGCTTGTTAAGTAGCGGGTGAGTGCGCCCATAACCCTCCAGCCAAACGTGCATGTAACCCTTCCCTAGGATCAATCGGGAATTCCCAGTGTAGGTCTTTTGAAATTCTCACCACAGCAGCAGCACAGCTTACCTTGAGAAGCTTAATTGCCACCTGTTTGCCATCCCTTAGGCTCCCTCTGTACACCAGTCCGAACCCCCCCTCCCCCAGCAGCAGACTGCTGCTGAACCCACTCGTTGCCCCGCGCAGGTCCTTCCAGAGCTTACCAACACTGAGAGAACATCTTCAACAGCAAGCAGCAGCTTACCTTGAGAAGCTTTATTGCCACCTGCTTGCCATCCCTGAGGCTCCCTCTGTACACCAGTCCGAACCCCCCTTCCCCCAGCAGCAGACTGCTGCTGAACCCGCTCGTTGCCTTGCGAAGGTCCTTCCAGAGCCTACCACCACTGAGTGAACATCTTCAACAGCAAGCAATGACTCACCTTGAGCAGTTTTATTGCCACCTGCTTGCCATCCCTGAGGCTCCCTCTGTACACCAGTCCGAACCCCCCTTCCCCCAGCAGCAGACTGCTGCTGAACCCGCTCGTTGCCTTGCGAAGGTCCTCCATTCGAAATCGCTGCAGCTGCTGCAGCTGGCCCAGGATCTCCTCTGCATGGGTTAGTGAGGGGTAGTGAGGGGTTGCGAGGTGTAGGGAGGGGAAGAGAGGGGTAGTGAGGAGTAGGGAAGGTTAGTGAGGGGTGGTGGGGGTCGACTCGAAAGCTCATTCAGGCGAAACTGCTGCAGCTGCCGCAAGTGACCTAGGATCTCCTCTGTTTGGGGGGTGAGGGGTAGTGAGGGGTGATAAGGACTCGTGAAGGATAGAGAGGCGTAGAGCGAGGTAGTAAGAGGCTGACTCAAAAGGATCTCCAGGCGAAACCGCTGCAGCTGTTGCCAGTGGGCCTAAGATTTCATGTGCTCCCACTCTCCCGATTCTCATTATGCAACGGGTCAATCACATCGTCCTTCTCCAGTCCCTCTTCCTCTTCCATCATCCCTTGCTGCCGCCGCCGGTAAACCCTGGCTCTCGAAACACTACGCCACACCGCAAGCAAGCTCCCTCCCAGTCCCTCTCTCCTTTCTCACCATGCAACGGGTCATTTATATCGTCCTTCTCCAGTCCCTCTTCATCTACTGTACTCCTCTGCTGCTGATGCCGCCGCCGCCGCTGCCACCACCACCACGCAGCAGCTAGGAACAGAACCAGACAAACGACGCCAGCCAGAATCCCGACGATAATTGGCCAGATGGAGGAGGACGAGGAAGGGGGAGCCTCTGGTACTGTTGCAGCGCTGCTTGGTGCTGAAGAGGCGAAGTCTGCGCTGGGGGTGCAGAGGGGTGCAAGAGGGTGCAGAGGGGTGCAAGGGGGTGCAAGGGGATGCAAGGGAGTGCATGGGAATGCAAGCACCATGAGAGGCCAGATGGAGGAGGAGGAGGAAGGGGGAGCCTCTGGCAGTGTTGTAGCGCTGGCTGGCGCTGCAGAGGCGAAGTCTGTGCTGGGGGTGCGGGGAGGTGCATGGGGGTGCAAAGGGGTGCAGTGGTACGCATGGAGGTGCAGGGGGGTGCAGAGGGGTGCAGGGGAATACATAGGGGAGCAAGCATCATGAGAGGCCAGATGGAGGAGGACGGGAAAGATGGGAGCTCTGGCACTATTGCAGAGATGGCTGGCGCTGCAGAGGCGAAGTCTGTGCTGGGGGGGTTGCGATGGATGCAGAGGGATGCAGGTGGGTGCAGGAAGTTGGAGCCTCCGGCACTGTAGCAGTGGTGACTGGCGCTGCAGAGGCAAAGTCTGTGCTGAGTGGTGCAGGGAGTAGTGTGGAGGTGTGTGTGGGTGCATGCAAGGTGGTGCGGGGAGGTGCAGAGCAGTGCAGTGGGATCTAGTAGGATGCAAGCACCAATACAAAAGGTCGGATGACAAAGGACAAGGGAAGGTAGGAGTTGAGACAGTACAAAGGAGAAGCAAATGAGGCAGGAGTAACAGGGACGGGAGGGTGAGGCTGAGGGGAGAAAGGAACAGGTGCAAGCAATTTACTATAAAAACAAGAGCACAAGCGTGTACTGTACCTGGTGGGCAGAAAAGATTGGGGTTGCCTATAAACCTGCACATGCATACAAGGAGAGATGTATGGCGCAGGCAGAGAGTGAAAAGAGAAGTTGGCCTTGGCATCGTGAATGAATTTTGAGACGTCTCAAAAGTCAATAAACCTGCACATGCATACAAGGAGAGATGTATGGCGCTGGCAGAGGGGTTGGCCTTGGCATCGTGAATGGATGTCTACGGTAAGGGTTTGATGGGTTGATACAATACTGCTCCTCCCCTTGGGTGACGTTTTAACCGACTCAAAAGTAAACCTAAGAAACGGGGCTCCAAATGGGTGCCTACGGAAAAGGCATCCTTCGCTATCGGTAAACCACTGACTGACCTTCTGGACTGGATTTTCCGCTACTCTGCTTCACTTACGGTCACATGTCTTGTCTCTGAATGCAGCGGGTACAGTGGCAGAGAGCCGATTATTCTGCAACCGCCGTTTGAGGCGCCTCAAAAGTTGGTTCAAAAGCCGTCTCGTCTCTTTTACTTACGGGTCACATGTTTTATCTTTGAATGCAGCGGGTACAGTACCAGACAGCCGATTGTTCTGCAACCGCCTGCAAATGGTCAGGCAATAAGAGGTGCGGGAAGATGGGGGAAGGTGAGGGAAGGTGCGGGACGGTGAGAGAACACGACCAGCTTACAGGTCAGGTCAGCAACACATCCAACACCCTCAGATTTGCTTCTGAGGGTTTTGAGTCGACTCAAAAGGCTACCAGCAGCCCTCACGCCCCCTGTCAACGAGTTGTTGCTCAGATCCAACACCCTCAGATTCTCTTCTGAGGGTCCTGAAGGTCTGTGTCTGAGAGTTCTCAAGACCAGCTTACGGATCAGAAAGAAACGCGAGGCAGGCTACCAGCAGCCGTCACGCTCCCTATGAACAAGTTGTTGCTCGGATTCAACACCCTCAGATTCACTCCTTTGAAGTGCCAACTTCGACATAACTTACAGGTCAGCAACGCGAGGCAGGCTGCCAACAGCCTTCACACCTCCTATGAACGAGTTGTTGCTCAGATCCAACACCCTCAGGTTCGCTTCTGAACACTTTCAAAACAAGCTTGAAGCTTACAGGTCAGTAACGCGTGGCAGGCTACCAACAGCCTTGATGCTCCCTATGAACGAGTTGTTGCTCAGATCCAACACCCTCAGATCCTTCAGCTCGCCCAGTGCTTCCCATGGCTGCAAGGGAATGGTGGCGTGGGAGAGGGAGTGGGGTGGGAGTGGGAGAGTACATGACAACTAGCAGCCTTGATGCTCCCTATGAACGAGTTGTTGCTCAGATCCAGTACCCTTAGGTCCTTCAACTCGCCCAATGCGTCCCATGGCTGCAAGGGAATGGTAGTGGGAGAGGTAGTGAGTGCGATAGTGAACTGGGAGAGTGAAGGAGTGGGAGAGTACATGAGAGGCAGGCAGGCTACCACCAGCCTTCACTCCTCCAAGGAACGAGTTGTTGCTCAGATCCAACACACTCAGTTCCTTCAGCTCACCCAGTGCGTCCCATGGCTGCAACGGAATGGCGGTGTGGGACAGTGAATGAGTGGGAGAGTACATGACAACCAGCAGTTTTCACGCTCACAACAAACGAGTTGTTGCTCAGATCCAGCACTCTCGGGTCCTTCAGCTCACCCAGTGCGTCCCACGGCTGCAAGCGAATATCGGCATGGGAGAGGGAGAGAGAGAGGGACCATTCTGAGATGTGAGAGCGAATGCGAGGCAGGTTACCAACAGCCTTGACACCTCCAATGAACGAGCTATTGCTCAGACCCAGCACCCTCAGGTCCTTCAGCTCGCCCAGTGCGTCCCATGGCTGCATGTGAATGAGAGAGCGAATTGGTGAGGAAGGAAATTAACAAGCAAACAAGTTGTTGCTAAGGTCCAGCACCGTCAGGTCCTTCAGCTCGCCCAGTGCGTCCCGTGGATGGCTGCATGTGAATGTTGGAACGGAAGTGCAAGGGAGAGGGCGAGGGAGAGAGCGAGGGAGAGAGCAGTAGACATGCATATGCAAAATCAACATGACATAGCAAAGATGTGCCACGTTAATATAACCATGTGTATTTGCGTCCTGTGTGTTGGTGAGAACCAGTCACTGCGAGATAGTCACTGCGAGATATAGTCACTGTGAGATATAGTCACTGTGAGATATAGTCACTGTGAGATATAGTCACTGCAAGATATAGTCACTGCGAGATTCAGTGACTGTGGTGGTATTGTTCTTGTGCGATTGGGGCTCACCACTTCACCTGTCATATTGTTGTCGTTTAGCCTCCTGCAGACATGAGGTCATGAACACACAGGCACGCATACCCGCAACCATACACATACACGCATGAGCGTTCGGCGCTCGCGCGCGCGCGCGCACACACACAGGCACGCACACGCATGCACGCATACACACGTATTCACACGAACACACAAGCGTATGTAAGATACGAAGACGAGTGCAGAGGAACACGTGCGTGAAATGCAATCATGAAATGAGGTCATGCATGCACGACACGACGAACACCTCAGCATCAACCAATATACACATTGACAGATATGTGGTGAACATTCCAAGCAAGTAGCCTCGACTGGAAGCACTCAAAGCATTTGTAGAGTATACTCGCTTGCACGTCTGTAACATTGAGGACTATCAATGCAAGGACCGTTCGAGGGGATGGGGTGTAGTACTAACAGTTCTTGCAGATATGGGAAGAAGCGGATGTAGGGGCTTAAGGTGCCATTGATATGCGGGACAAACGAGGCCAGGATTCTGGAAGACAAATGGATGGGGTTGCGTGGAGAGGGGAGCAGAACGTGCAAAGAAGATTAGCTTACTGCTGCATTGAAACCAGGCCGATCAACATGGCTGATGAAAGTGGAGAGGCAGTAGAAGAATCAACCGTCAGCTTGTCATTGCAGGTTCAACGGTCAGTCAGTGTTGCATCACATCACGGGCGAGGTAATTACAGCATCACTGCAGGACAGCTCGTTAATACGGATATCTATCTTATACCTGAAAAAGAGTCACTCACAGGCGAGTCACGTAGCCTTGCGCATTGCATGCTACAGGAGGGAGAAGGCAGGGGTCCCCTCCAAAATAATCCATGCTCCACTTGTCATAATCTAGGTTCTTGAACGCTGGCAGCACGAAGTTGTACAGGTATGGCCCTGATGCATAGCACAGAGATTGCAGGGGACCATGGATACATAGGGGGTAACTCGTGAGTCACTCTTGGTAACCTATTTGCCAGATAATATAGGTTCTTTAATGCTGGCAGCACACAGTTGCACAGGTAAGGCCCTGACATTGCACCGAGGGGGCTTTGGGATACGTAAGAAGGTGACGTAATAATCAGTCCTGGACATGACATGGATTTCTGAAAGGCTTTCAGGACCCTAGTGTGCAGTAGATTCCTTGCTGGCGAGAATACATGGGAACAGTGCAGAAAATGATTCAAGTAAGTGCTTGGAGGAGAAAATACCGGCAGTCATGACAGAATTTCACTGCGTGGAACGAGAATGGTGAATGAGCTCACCTTCTTGAGTAGCAAAGACGCCTCGGCGGGAAAAAACGAGCAGCGCTGCGACTAGAATGACTTGGCTCCAGACCTCCATGGTATGGTCCACTTGACGAGAACTGATCGCGAATCAGGGCCTGGGCAAGTTTTGAAGCTCAAAACTAAAAGTACTTCTTTGACACAGCATTCCGAGTAATCAGAGCCTAGTGCTTTCTTTAGCAGCTACCACTCGTAACTGGAATGACTATAGTGAGAAACTTGGTTCTTCGTCAGACTCGTTGACTTTGGATTCAGAGCAAAACCAAGCCGAATTGAGCCAAGACTAACGGAAAGGCGCGATGATCTCAAGCGTTTGAAGAAATGAGCGACATTGACGTTTTTTTTGCCGCCCTGTCTCAGTGACGCTGGTGTTTCATACAGCGGCTTGCACTACTGGTACTAAACGTTGACCACTACACGTGTTCCTGGCATGATGCATCTTCCCCCTACCGTCTTGCCTCAACGGAGCTAGCTGGTGTTTGCCGTGAGGGCTTCACCCTAAGTACGCCGTATAGCATTGCACATGAAAGGCTTTATGACATTCTGTCTCCTATTGAGCTTGGCCGAAGCAACTTGGGGGAGTGTTTTCTAGAAAACTCCACCTTGATGTCATCGTCCATCAGTTTGGCAGCTCCGGCAAGTTCCACTGCGGTAATTCTTGTTTGTTTAGAATTGACAGTGAAAGGTTCATTCTGGTGCACTTCGGTTTAGATAGGCGAAAATCGAAAACCGCTTTCAATCGTGATCGACCGTATTAAAACGTGTCAAACGATTCTTGAGCTTTAGGTGGTGGCTGTCGGGTTTCGCTTCGGTTCGTTGGTAGGTGGTGTACCGGCTCGGTGTCGGTGAGTGAAGTTGACGGTTGACCAATGACCACCAGCTGCTCGGGGTGTACGGGACAATTGTGGGCATTGTCAACGGAATGGGTTGCCAGGCGGAACGGGGTGCTGCTGTTGGGTTGAGCGAATTGTCAAAGCACAACGGTCTGTCGGGGGCGACCTTTTTTTTTTAGGGGGCAGGCAAATGCACCCTGGACTGGACGCAGGAGCGCCGCTTGGACTGACGATGAGAGGACAAGAACCACCCAGCACCCCGGCCGCACCCCAGGGCATCGCGCACCGAAAGCCCTGTCAGCGCATGCCAGGGCTCAATCGTTCGCGCATTGCACCGTACTGAAAACTGTATGAGCCTTTCAATACCGTCTAATACCGACGGACTCTGAGACTGTTCGCCAGCAACTGATCCGCTACCTTACTAGCAGCTCGTGTACAAAACTAAGAGACGACATATACCTATGTTTCGGAATCCGGCATTCAGCTCATCTATCGTTTTTTTCGATAGAGAGATGAGATCCAAATGAGATGAGATCATCCGACCGTCATATCATCGCAGGACCAGAATGTCGCGAGTCTTGTCAGTGATTCGCCGCTGGTTTCGCGCTCGGGAAACCAGCGACAGAATTCCCGCAAAATCAGCAGTGTTTCGCGGCGATGGCGCGTTTGCGAATAACCTCAACATCAGCGTGCGCGTTACGTTCCCCGAAGCTTCCTCTCGTCCGCGACCCATGCGTCTCATGACGCTTTATCTACTCGGTTTACTGTTCACGGTCACTGTAGTTATTCCCGTAACGAATCGGCATTTAATGAATCTTAACGAGTCTCCTGGTTTGCAAACCCTTGACGACAGCCATGGCGGACGGGTACGGATGGGAACCAGGCGGAGAATAATAGGTATTGGCGGAGTGGGAGGAGGAGGAAGAGGAAGAGGGGGAATTGCCGAAACGGAGGGTGAAATAACGAGTGTTACAATAACGAGCAATGGGGGTCAATCAGGAGGACTTAAGTCTGTGAATATTACTAATAATAGTAGTGATAATATTGAAGGGGAAGGAAACCAGAGCGGTTTGATTCGTGAAAATGGCACTGTGGAGCAAATGGATAGAGGGCTCAATACTTCAGAGACTGAGAGTGTGAGGGAGGGAGAAGAAGAGGCCACGAAGGGGGAGGAGGAGAGGAGGAGGAAGGAGGAGGAAGAGAGGAGGAAGGAGGAGGAAGAGAGGAAGAAGGAGGAAGAGGCGGAGGAGGAGGAGGACAAGGTGTTTCGATTTGACGATGAGGAGGAGGAGGGGAAGGAGGAAGGGGGCGAGAACCGACACGTAGGGCAAGGGGCTGGGTTGGTAGCAGGATTGTCAACAGAAGCACAAGGCGCAGCTGCTGTGAAATGTGAGATTTTCTCCTCTCTTTTCTCTTTGGGAGGAGGCTGAGAAGGAGGAGGAGAAGGAGGAAGCGAGGGGAGGCGAGAAACGACATGTAGGGCAGGGGGCTGGGTTGGTAGCAGGATCTTCAGCAGAAGGCGTAGCAGCCGTGCAATGTGAGACGCTTTTTGGGGGGTTGGGGGGGGGGGGGGGAAAGGGATGGGGAGGGGGAGGGGGGTGGAAACGGGGGGGTGGGGGGGAGGGGAGGGATGGCGAGGGGGAATAGGAGGGGATTGGAAGGGGGAAAGAGGAGGGGGGGGGGGGAGGAATGAAGCGTTGAGCCTGCAATCGGTACCCTAACACCCCTCCTTCCTCTCCCTCCTTCCCCCTTCCCTCCCGTTCCCCCAACCTCACCACTCCCACCTTCGACCTCCCCCACCCCTCCCTTTCCTTGAATCTTTCCTCTCCTCCCGTCACCCATGCGTGCCATGCCAGACCCTTTAGTGGAGAGAGTGCGGTCGTGCAAGGGAGTGGCAGAGGATGACATTGTGCTGCGCAAGCTGCTCACCCCAACGCCCCTCAAGCTGCTCGTCCTCTCCTCCCTTCACCCATGCGTGCCATGCCAGACCCCTCAGTGGAGACTGTTCGCCCCTGTGAGGGAGTGGCTGAGGGCGACATTGTTCTCCGCAAGCTGCTCTCCCCGACGCCCCTCAAGCTCACTCCCAAGACGCTCCCCGCCAACCTCGTCCTTTCGTTCGCGCTCGGCCTTTCCGCTGCCAACCTATCAGCGCTCGCCACGTCATTCAGAAAATTCGTGCTAGAAGGAAGCAGCGGCAGCAGCGTTAGTGGTGGCGGTGGAGGAGGGGATGGGAGTGAGAGTGGGGGTGAGAGTGGGAGTGAGGGGGGGCATGGTGGTTCCCTGCTGGTGTTTTTTGTTCAGGAGTGGCCGCAGGGGTGGAAGCACCAACCAGGGATTGCACTCCAAACGTTCTGCTCACCAGAAGAAGGTCGGTCAGTCAGTCTGTACTTCCCTGTCTTGTCTTGTCAACTGCCACGCCCTCATCCTCCACTTCTCTTCTTATGACTTTTGAATCGACTCAAAAGTTATTTCCCTGTCTTGTCTTGTCAACCCCCATGCCCTCAACCTCCACTTCTGTTCATATCATGTCTTTAATATGAGCCCCATGATTGTTGTCAATCAGACCAACCCATTTCCCCTACAGATGACCCTACAGATGTCCTCGCTGACCCTACAGATGTTCTCTTTCTCTTCCCCACTCTTTTCCAACTCCAGGCAAGTGGGCAGCAGCACGTGCCACCAACCTGCGCTATCAGGCTCATAATGCTTCTCTGTAACCCCTTTGCCTCTCCCGTTCTTTTCCAGGCAAGTGGGCAGCAGCGCATGCCACCAACCTGCGCTATCGTGCCTTCCACCTCTTCTTGCGCTCGCTGGACTTTGACGGCACTGTCATCCTCGCTGACCCTACAGATGTTCTCTTTCTCGCCAATCCTTTTCCTACACTCAATGACATGTCTTTTCATCTCTACACAGTAAGTTCCCTTTTGATGTGTTTTTCCAATCCTCGTGAACGTCTTTCAGTGACATGTCTTACCACTGTCATAAAGCTCTTACTGGGAGCATGGCGAGCTGGTGCATTGGGGAAAGGGAAGTAGATCAGAAGGGCTGATTCTGCGTGTGTCATGTACACCTGTGTGGGTTAGGCTGATTTCTGATGCTTCTTGCTCCGTTTTGCCCTCCATGCCTCTTTATGTTCCTTTGCCAGGGATCGACCACCTACCCAACACATGGCATTCGTTTCCTGCCTCCAGAGCACAAGCGCCTTGCGACATGTTACGGGATCCGCCTGGCATTCTCGCTTGCAAACTCACGAATTATCACATCCGGCTTTGTGGCGGGAACTATGAGCCAGGTGCCAGAGTTTTTGATACAGGTCATAGAAGACTTTGAGAGGCTACCGGAGGAATGCATAGTATTGGAGGGAAGCGATGAAGCTGTTGTGAACCATCTTGTCCGATCAGGTAAGGAACATTGCAGCAGTTACCCAAAACGTGGATGCATCAGTTGTGCATTTCTACCTGGCCATGTCACGCGTTAGTTGCTTTTTTATTGCAATTGTTTCGCTCCTACCTAACCAATGGCTTCTTGCTGCTGTGATGCAGGGCGCTTGAAAGAAGGTATAGATTTCTTGAAGATCGAGGATGCACAGCAGGGAAATGTGTTGCATCGGTTTAGTGCAGAAGACTCGTTTGAAGTGAAAGAAGGTGGACGGGTTGTGAATGCAATGGGGAGGACCGTCGTGGCAATCCATGGGTATGACAATTTCATTGACTCCCAATTGCTTGTAAAGGATGTGATCGGGTTGGCAAGCCTACAATCATGATTGCCAAGAAAAGGGTTTCGCTTGTCTCAAAAGCCAGAAGTGATAACTTACACACAATCCATGCAATATGAAGCTTGTGATTAGCAGCAATATCAATAAATTGACATTCAGGGTGGACATAGGCACTCTTCTGGGTTTGCAAAGAAGTTGCTTGTTGCTGACCTCCCGTGATAAACAAAGCGGTCCTCATGGACAGCTCTGACAAGCTCAAGCAAATCACGCTCTGACAAGTGGTGGCATGAGTACAAGGATGCCAGCTTTTTTAAGTCCGGTTGAACACTCCTCCGGCCATAGTAAAGCCTGTGCTTTCCACACGTCAGAAGGACCACCACAACACAAGGGGGTGACATAGAGAGTGAGCATACACATCACATCACCTGTGCCCAATAACAAAGTTAGGGAAATTTCCTGTCGCGGTTGGAATGAAGATGCCACTTTCTGTGGACACTATATAATCAATAGCTGCTAGTGCAGATGCCCTCCTCTCCAATGAACCAAGTTCTTCCTGCATTTGCAGCGTCAATTAGAGGTGATCACAGCACGGACACTGGTGGCGTGGTGTGCCTTGTTAGTACTCTTACCCGTGTCAGAATGTCCCGTTTGGTCAGAGCGTTTGGAAACATGGACCGCAGAGACTGAAGGCTATAATTACCACCAAAAAGCTGTCCTTCTAATGTGGCGACATAAATGGCTGAGCTTTTGCGAACTCCCATTGCTCGCATAAAAATGCCAGTCTCGATGGCACTCATTGGACACTGACCAAGTACTCGCTGGCTAGCAGGACTTAGTGCTTCACGAAGCTTCCTTGTTGCTCTGTCCCAGTGCTCTACTCGGTACTCCTGCCAACAATAGATGAGATCTCAGCAAGGAAAAAGATGTTAGACTGGGTATGGGACAATAGTTCCATACCTCTAGAGCCAGCTTCTCTTTCTCACCACCCCCGAATTCACACATTGAATAGGCAACAGCATCAGTCTCGAACCTCCAGTGCAACGACACGAAGTTGGATGACATCTTCTTCATTCTCCGTATGACCTTTCTTCCCATTACAAGAATGGAATTTACGAATCTGAGGCCCTGTTTCAGATAGCATGTTAAAAGCGTAGTTTTTTTGAGCCAGTACAAGGCACAGAACAATAAGCGCACCTCATAGTTGACCTTGCACCGGAAAAGCTGCCACGGTTCTGGAAGAACGTTCCCAAGACGCCGGGCGAAGGGACTTAGTAGAACAATGCTGCTGTTTTGGACTGAAGGCTTAACGTTCTCCACGTACCTGTGCTCATAAGAAATTACACGAATTCTGGCCGAGGCATACAGCAAATCTTACATCTTACCAATCCAACGTTGCCAGAGCATCTTCAGGAGGTCTAAATTCATGAATGGAAAGCTGTTTTGCCTCTTCAGGGATGGTTGTAACCACTTTGACGAAGCCTTTCAGCACCGACTCAAAATGCGTCAGGTTGAATAGATCTTGAAACGAGCTGTTGATTCAGTTGTTATTGACCCATGGCTGACAGTCAGGAGATCACCCTGAATGACTAAGCAGAAGATTTACCTGCTATCTCCCCAGACAGGGTGGGCTTTCAGGAATGGCACAACAAGTGTCAAATTCAGAAAGCGTGCTAGGACCACGGCATTGACAATTGCTCCTCGCTGTTGATTGAGACCGCCATTGCAAACGGTGACAAGGAATGAACCAGTCGGCTTGTACGGAGCTGCAAAAGGCAAATGAGGAATTTCTTATGGCATAGTAGTAACGATATACAATAACTGACACTCACGTAGCCTATGAACCAGGTCATGAAAACGTCTGCCACATTTCTTGACAGTCGTTTCTCCCAGAGGCGAATTATCTAGTAAGCGCTCCTGCGAAACGGTGAGGTGAGCTGTGCAGTTGAAACAGCACGCCGCGAGAAATGATGCTTACCCTTAACTCAGCTGATCGTTGAGCGTTAGCGACGTATTTGCTCAATATCGAAGATTTTAATACATTACCATCGTACGCCTGCAAGCATTCGCTATGTCACTTCACGTAGAAAAGCAGCACTTAAGACACACGTAAAACGAGGCCTACTAACCGCTGTCATGCAGCTTGCATGAAGCAAAACGAGGGCAGAAATAGCAATAGATTCAAGGTGGAGCATTATTGGTGTGCTGGTGAGATCGGTAAGATTTGTTCCTCGGAGATTGGTAAGATATGTTCTTGGGACAACTCCAGAACATCAACCAACTAAGGGAAAGTGTGGAGCTGTGATGTACTCGCCCCAGCATACCTCGTTAGGGCGACGTCAGGTTATACATTTCTCATGGAATAACAGTTCTTGTAACGTGGTTCAGGACGTTTTAGCACGGTGGAAAGTGGTTCTCGACGTTTACAGCTCTGCACCGTGTTGAAACAAAGCTAACCGCAGTGGGCGTACAAAAAGTTGTACAACCTGACGTCGCCCACTATATTGCTAATGCAAACGCTGACTTTGAGACCCCCACCTTCCCGCCGCACCTTTCGTAACCTCCCAACCAACCCAGTTGATGTTTGCTTCACCTTTTCGTTTGTGGAACAGCCGCATCTTTCTCACACATGCAAGTTCCCCTTTTTGCAGGCCCCAGCACCCCCCATTCTACACCCTTTATACTGTACAGTAGTACAGTTACGTGACCGATTGCATCTTGAAGATCACCAGAGACTCCCAACCAATAAGGCTACACCTCCTCTCCACAGGTTTCTCATAACGCAGGCGTTTCAAGTTGCCATGAACCCTACTTTCTTCAGTACAGTGCACAGTGTTTGGCAGATGTGAAGTACTAGCAAGCACCATCCAATAGCAACTACTATCGGTAGCTTGTCCTTTCCCAAATGTGGTCAGAATAGCGGACTAGTCTAGGCTCCTAGACTCGTTTTCAGTCTTTTTCCCCACCTGCGCAGTCATCGCTCTTCTGTCGTTCACTTGATACGCTGTTACAGCCGCGTTAGCAGTTTCCTTTAGTTTATACCTGAGCTGATGCTGGGCGACACTTTCTAGCGTAAGCAACTGCGTACTATAAGTTATATTCTGCGGCAATTTAAAAATCGTTACATTAAAGACTTTCCGATAGTTGATCAGCTCGAATGGATGCGGTAAGCCTCAACCTCGTTCAACGCTGTCATGTTGGCTGGCCTTTGACCTGCTAATTTCTTTTTTTTTTTAGCTTCTTACCTTTCTCTATTTTCCTTTTCGTTTCTCTTTTTTTCTCGCGGCACTGTTTAGTTGGATCGCGCCCTTTTTTCGCACTTTCGATAGGCTCTTACTACCGAATATGGCGCGACGGTAGCTCTGCATGGTTCTCCTGCTGGCACCGAAGGAAGATATGAACATTGAGTGTCGGCATGCTCCCTTTGAACCTTCTAGTTTTATGCTAGTTCAGTTCTTCCCATCTTTCTTTCTCACGGCAGGGCCGGAGACGCCATTTCACTGGAAGGGTGCTCTCCACCACGAACCCAGGTACCAAGTCCCTGCTTTCCTTGCTCAACCCAGGAGTCGATCCCAGTGCATTGTGCCACGCCCTTTTTACAACGTATCAGATGGCGTCTTGTGTACCCGGCTTGATTAGGGTTGACGATGAGATTACGTTCTTTCTTGCGCATCCATATCCTTGGTGCGTCTGCTACGAGTCTATGGACTCTCCATCCACCATAGCCGCTCCATCACCCCCATCTGCCACCAACCTTCCCAATCCCCACGCCAGCATCCTTCCCGGATGTGTTTGATATGGGCAAGAAGCTGGGTTCGGGGCAGTTCGGCACAACCTATGTGTGCGTGGAGCGGGCCACAGGACAGGCATACGCGTGCAAATGCATTCCCAAGAGCAAGCTGCTGACGGAGGGAGACGTGGAGGATGTCCGGCGGGAAGTGGCAATACTATACCATGTGCAGGTGGGTGGGTGGCTTTATGTACTGTCATGTCATTGAACCGTGTGCCTTCAAAACTGCACAACAGTGGTCCGGTGTTAGACTCCCCACAACCAGAAGTGATGTCTGTCAGGCAGTAGCGTGTTGTTGTTCTCTGATATAACAAGTTTTATCAGGCTTTAACTCAACGATTTTTCTGGTGTTGCTTTTCTTTGCTTTTTTTTGGGATTGATCGATCAGAATCAACCCAACATTGTGAACATCAAGGACGCGTATGAGGACAAGGATCACGTGTACATTGTGATGGAGCTGTGCACGGGAGGAGAGCTCTACGACACGATTATAAAGAGGATAGAGGCCAGAGGAGTGCCTTACTCGTGAGTGCCCATGGCCATGGGGGTATGGCCTAGTTGGGCCTTTGGCTTTCATTTATGTGCTAGAATTCTTTTGTGAGGGGAAGCTCATGCATGCATTTTCAATAGTGAAGTATTCTTTTCGTACCATGTCGCAAGACCTTTTCAAAACGCGAAACTCTCCTGCCCAGTTTCTCTATTTCCATCTTGCCTGCTCCAGACCATATTCCTCACCCCATGAATACCTGCCAGGGAGGTGGATACGGTAGAGATGAGATGATGAAGGTGGTGCTAGTGGTGGTAAGTGCATTCATACATTCTATGCAATGTTCCCACTGCCCATCCCTTGCCCTCTGCTCGCCCACCCACCCGCCACAGGGAGAAGGACGCAGCAGAGATGGCGAAGGTGATAGTGCGAGTGGTGGAGTGCTGTCACTCGCTGGGCGTCGTACACAGGGACCTCAAGCCCGAGAATTTCCTGCTTTCCAGCAAGGACGAGGCCACGGCTGAGCTCAAGGCCACGGATTTTGGCCTTTCTTGCTTCTACAAAGGTGGGTTCTCACTTCAACATTTGAGGTGCCTTTTGAGTCGACTCAGAAGTTACAACGTCACAGGGACCTCAAGCCCGAGAACTTCCTGCTTTCCAGCAAGGACGAGGCCACGGCTGAGCTCAAAGCCACGGATTTCGGCCTCTCTTGCTTCTACAAAGGTGGGTGGGTTGGTGGGTGCTCACTTAACAATCTCGTTTCCTCAACGAATGTTCCCGTTTCACCTGACCCCAACAATCCCCTGTTCGAGCCCTCAACAACCCCCCCGTTTGCCTTCCTCCGCCAACAATCCCCCCCTGGCCTTCCCCCGCCAAACCCCTGTCGCTTCCCTCCAACACCCCCCCGTTCACCTACCTACCCCCAACACCCCCCCGTTTGCCTCCCCTAATCAACACCCTTTCCGCCTCCCCTCAACAACCCCCCATCTGCCTTTCCCCAACAACACTCCCCAACAACCCTCCCGTCCGCCTTCCCCCAACAAACCCCCGTCCGCCTCCCCCCAACAACCCCCCGTCCGCCTCCCACCGACAACCCTGCGCCGCCTCCCTCCCAAAACCCCCGTTCGCCTCCCCTCAACAACCCCCTGCTCGCCTCCCCCATCTGCCTCTTTCCCTTCCCTTATCATCCCTATGCCGCGCACCAGGTGAGGGCAATTCGAGTTCGAGGCACTGTGGCAGCGCCATGTACATGGCGCCGGAAGTCATCAAGTGGTGGCCAGGATAGATGCATGGAAGTTTATAACCCCATTCCTCGTCCTCCACCCCATCGCCCCCACCTTATGCCCTCTTTCCAGGCGAGGGCATGTCGCGGCACTGTGGCAGCCCCATGTACATGGGCGCCCGAGGTCATCAAGTGGCGGCCAGGGGATGGATACACATAACCCGATGCCTCTTTCCCCACCTCCTTCACCCCAATCCCTCCCTCCAGGCGAGGGCATGTCGCGGCACTGTGGCAGCCCCATGTACATGGCGCCCGAGGTCATCAAGTGGCGGCCAGGGGCGTTCATCATGGCCAAGCGCCCGCCCAAGTACGGCCCAGAGGTGGACGTGTGGAGCGCAGGCGTCATCATCTACGCCCTGCTCTGTGGCTTCCCACCCTTCTACCACCGTACGTGCCCGCTGCTGCCTTTTGCACTTTTCTTGGGAGATGCCTCGATGCTCTGTTCTGTAACTCCCCACCTTTCTTATGAATAATGAAACCATCGCATTCACTTCTTTTCAATTTTTTTTTCACATGTATATGTATTATATATATATAAATATATATTTATCGTGTGTCTTGCAAATCCTAAACCATGCAGGGAGCCACTCCACCAAGGAGATATTTAAGGCGGTGCTGCAGGGCAACCCGACGTTTGCCATCCCTCGCCGGTCCTCATTGTCTTGAGTTTTCTTTCCTCACTTTCACAAGCATTCCCACTCTGATTCCACCATGCAGGGAGCCATTCCACCAAGGAGATATTCAAGGCAGTGCTGCGAGGCAACCCCACATTCGCCATAGCGCCGTGGCCGTCCATCTCGGACCATGCCAAGGAGCTCGTCAAGGCCATGCTCCACCCCGACCCCTCCAAGCGCCCCACCGCCCACCAAGTGCTCTGTGAGTGCACGCGCTTTCTGAGACTTCTCTCAGCCTTCTAAACCCATACAGGGAGCAGCTCCGAGTTTCTGAGCTGTCTCAAAACCCCATGCTCCACCCCGACCCCTCCAAACGCCCCACCGCCCACCAAGTGCTCTGTGAGTGCACACACTGACAAAGCATCGAATATGCCATTGCCTCGCACGCATGTGGTCCGTCCTCCTACTTCTGGCCATCCGTGGCTCTGTCAGAGGAGGGCATGTCATACATCGAGCCTCTGCCATCGGTGTTGTGCTGACTGCGTGGGCCCTTCCAACTCTCCTTCGCACCCACCTCCCCCCGGTTTCCCTCTCACGCCTCTCACTCACCTCACAGTTCATCCGTGGCTGTCAGAGGGCATGTCATACGTCGAGCCTCTGCCCTCGGTGTTGACTGCCCAATGCCTTTTCCGCCCTCTCTCCCCCCCACCTCTGTCACCTCCACCCCATTTGTGTCTTACCTTCATATTCACTTCAGGTCACCCGTGGTTGTCAGAGGGAATGTCATACGTCGAGCCTCTGCCTCCAGTGGTGCTGTGCTGACGGCCTGCTGCCTTCCCCTCCCTCTACTCCTCCCCCCCCCCTTTGTGGCTTACCCTCTCACTCACCTCACAGGCCATCCGTGGTTGTCAGAGGGCATGTCATACGTAGAGCCTCTGCCATCGGTGTTGTGCTGCCCGATGCCTTTTCCATCCTCTCTCCCCTCCCCCTACCTCTGCCACCTCGACCCCATTCGTGTCTTTCCTTCATATTCACCTGCAGGCCATCCGTGGTTGTCAGAGGGCATGTCATACGTCGAGCCTCTGCCTCCGGTGGTGCTGACGCGGCTGAAGCAGTTCACATCCATGGTCAAGATGAAGAGAATGGCCATGAAGGTATGTGTGGTGTTGTGATGCGGCGGTTACCAGGCGCTTCAGGGTGTCTAGGTATGGTATGTGTGGTGTTGCGGTGCTTCTGCAGTTACATACAGTGGCGTGGCTGCTGGGGTGCTGAGCCGATGCGGCTGGTGCAGTTCAAATCCAGCCGTTAACTGCTGGGGTGGACAGAAGGGTGAGGGAATGTTTGTGCACTCTCATGAATGTCCTTGGGCCATTCCATGCCATTATGTGTTTGTGTAAACCCCCATCTTGCTTCCCTCACCACCCCCCCACCCCAACACCCCCCTCCCCCTCACACCCGCGCTCTTCGAAACTTTCTTCCTCATTGTCCCCTGCAGGTGATTGCAGAGTCTCTGAGGGAGGAGGAGATTTGCGGGCTGAGGGAGATGTTTCAGGCCATGGATACGGACCGCAGCGGCACCATCAAGCGTTTGTGTCCCCCCCCCCACTTCCTCCTCACCGTCCTCTTGCAGGTCATTGCAGAGTCCTTGAGAGAGGAGGAGATTCGTGGGCTGAGGGAGATGTTTCAGGCCATGGATACGGACCGCTGCGGCACCATCAAGCGTTTGTGTCCCCCCCCCCCACTTCCTCCTCACCATCCTCTTGCAGGTCATTGCAGAGTCCTTGAGAGAGGAGGAGATTCGCGGGCTGAGGGAGATGTTTCAGGCCATGGATACGGACCGCAGCGGCACCATCAAGCGTTTGTGTCCCCCCCCCCCACTTCCTCCTCACCGTCCTCTTGCAGGTCATTGCAGAGTCCTTGAGAGAGGAGGAGATTCGTGGGCTGAGGGAGATGTTTCAGGCCATGGATACGGACCGCAGCGGCACCATCAAGCGTTTGTGTCCCCCCCCCCACTTCCTCCTCACCATCCTCTTGCAGGTCATTGCAGAGTCCTTGAGAGAGGAGGAGATTCGTGGGCTGAGGGAGATGTTTCAGGCCATGGATACGGACCGCAGCGGCACCATCAAGCGTTTGTGTCCCCCCTCCCACTTCCTCCTCACCATCCTCTTGCAGGTAATTGCAGAGTCCTTGAGAGAGGAGGAAATTCGTGGGCTGAGGGAGATGTTTCAGGCCATGGACACGGACCGCAGCGGCACCATCACAGTGGAGGAGCTACGGGCGGGGCTCAGGAAATTCGGGGCGCAGCTGAGCGATCTAGAGATCAACAAGCTCATGGAAGAGGTGGGTGCTGTGCTGTGCACATGCATGCAGTATGTTGTTGAAGGTTTCGGTTCGACTTGGGACGGCTCTAAGACACCATCACAGTGGAGGAGCTTCGCACGGGGCTCAGAAAATTTGGGGCGCAGCTGAGCGACACAGAGATCAACAAGCTCATGGAAGAGGTGGGTGCTGTGCTGTGCTGTGCTGTGCTGTGCTGTGCTGTGCTGTGCTGTGCTGTGCTGTGCTGTGCTGTGCTGTGCTGTGCTGTTCTGTTCTGTGCTGTGCTGTGCTGTGCTGTGCTGTTCTGTTCTGTGCTGTGCTGTGCTGTGCTGTGCTGTGCTGTGCTGTGCTGTGCTGTGCTGTGCTGTGCTGTGCTGTGCTGTGCTGTGCTGTGCTGTGCTGTGCTGTGCTGTGCTGTGCTGTGCTGTGCTGTGCTGTGCTGTGCTGTGCTGTGCTGTGCTGTGCTGTGCTGTGCTGTGCTGTGCTGTGCTGTGCTGTGCTGTCCCACAGCAGCGCATGCAGTAAATGTATCTCACAGCGCCCCAGTAGCGGCACCATCACAGGAGGAGCTTTGTATGGGTCTGGGGCTGTGTGGTTGACCAGAATGGGAACACAATCCCTCTGTCTTCTCTCAAAACAAACCCCCACCTCTCCCTTTTTCCATCCCGCCTCATTTCGCACCTTCTCCTCTTGCTTCCCCCATCGTCAATGGTTCCCCCCCTTCATCCCTCTGCTCTACCCCCACTTTTCCCCTTCCCCGTCCCCTGCTCCCCCCACTGTTCTCCCTCCCCCTCTCTCCCCATCCCCCGCTTGCAGACGGACATGGACCAGAGTGGGGAGTTTCTGGCAGCCACGATGCATCTGAGCAAGCTGGACCAGCAGGAGAATATGTTGCACGCCTTTGAGTTCTTTTGACCATGACAACACACATACACGCATCACCCCCCTGAACCCCCATACCCCCTCCCTTAACCCCATCCTCCCACTTTCCCCCTCCCCCTTCCCCTGCTCCTCCGCTCTTCCCGCCATGCCCCCCCCCGTCCTGCCTCTCCTCATGCACAGACGGACATAGACCAGAGTGGAGAGATTGAATATGGAGAGTTCCTGGCAGCCACGATGCATCTGAGCAAGCTGGACCAGCAGGAGAATCTGCTGCGCGCCTTTGAGTTCTTTTGACCATGACAACATACATACACGCATCACCCCCCTAAACCCCCATACCCCCTCCCTTAACCCCATCCTCCCACTTTCCCCCTCCCCCTTCCCCTGCTCCTCCGCTCTTCCCTCCATGCCCCCCGTCCTGCCTCTCCTCATGCACAGACGGACATAGACCAGAGTGGGGAGATAGAATATGGAGAGTTTCTCGCGGCCACGATGCATCTGAGCAAGCTGGACCAGCAGGAGAATCTGCTGCGCGCCTTTGCGTTCTTCGACCGTGACGGCAGCGGCAACATTACGTTGGACGAGCTGCAAAAGGCGTGTGAGGAGCTCAAGATGAGCCGCAAGGAGATTGAGGCGATGATGCGCGAGGTGGACGAGAACAATGTGAGTTCACAGGGACAGGAGGCATTGGGATGTCATTCTCGGGGCAAGTGTAAAAAGTATTTTTTTGAGACGTCTCAAAAATCACTTTTTACAGGTGGTTGAGAACAATGTGAGTTCACAGCAACAGGAAGATATGGGATGTTATTCTGACAGCAAGAAGCATCACCCTGGACGAGCTACTGAAGGCTTGCGAGGAGCTCAAGATGAGCCGCAAGGAGATTGAGGGTGCAGGGTGCAGTGCTTGTGATTTTGTACTCCTGTTGAAAACTGTTTATGTATCTTTCTCCCCCCGTCACCGAGACATTCTCTTTCTCCCACCCCCCACTCTTCCCCCCCCTCTCAAGTCCCCCTTCCCGCCCTCCCTATTGTCTACATTGCAGGACGGCACGATAGACTACAACGAGTTTGTGGTGATGATGCGAGAGAGATAGATGCACGGGTTGAGTCGCGGAGACATCCTCTTTTGCTCTCCCGCCTTCCCACTTCCCTCCCTCACTGTTTACGTTGCAGGACGGCACGATAGACTGCAACGAGTTTTTGGTGATGATGCGGGAGTCGCAGATGCATGGGTTGAGTCCCAAAGTCATTCTCTTTCTCCCAAACCCCAACACCTCCCCCCCCCCTCTCAATTCCCCGCGCTCGCTGTTGTCCATTGCAGGACGGCACGATAGACTATAAAGAGTTTGTGGCGATGATGCGGGAGTCGCAGATGCACGGGTTGAATCGCAGAGACACTCTTTCCCCCAAAACCCCCTCCCACCCCTCCTCCGCTCTCTCCCCCCCCCCCTTCCCTCCCTCACTGTTTACGTTGCAGGACGGCACGATAGACTACAACGAGTTTGTGGCGATGATGCGGGAGTCGCAGATGCACGGGTTGAGTCGCAGATACGTTCTCACCCAACCCTTCCCTCCCCTCTCCTCACTGTTCCCTACCTTGCAGGATGGCACGATAGACTATAACGAGTTTGTGGCGATGATGCGGGAGTCGCAGATGCACGGGTTGAGTCGCAGAGACATCCTGAACGGCCATGCCGGGCTGACAGACGTGGAGATGAACAGCCAGTCCTTCCGCCAGCTCATGTCCATTGACTGACTGACTCACTGACTCGCCCTCTTGACTGCCAGGAGTGTGGCACTGAGGACGATCTGAAAAGCGCGTGATGCAGGTTTTACAGCCATGCAAGACGGAGTTGACAGCCATGCGGGGCAGATTGGGACACTTATTGAGGCGCCTTAAAAAAGCGCGTGATGCAGGTTTGAGTGCCATGCAAGTGGAACGACGATGAGGAAGATCTGAAGATGTGAAGTGGATGGAGACTGGTGGTATGTGCAGCGGATGAAGGCGCGTGACTAGTGATGCAGGTGGAGATAGCGTGACCTTACAAAGTCGCAACGCAATTCATAAAGTAATACGTTGCAGGGACATTCTTTTGTAGTGGAAATGTCATCCAGGTTAATATCCTCTGCATGAACTAGGAAGGAACCATTTGTTCCAAACTTTTATGTATCATGGTGTCAGTGACAATGTAGTGTGATCTAGATGCTTCGCTGAAAGGCCATAGAATGAGGGTAGTGAGGGCGTGTTCCTACAGCCCCTTATCAGGCGACCTCTTGTCAGACTTGTGCGGTTCAATGCATTTCAATGCGATCGAATGCCAATTACGAGTGTTTCGATGCGATGCGACGCGAATCTGACAAGAGGTTCGCCTGATAAGGGGCCGTAGGAACACGCCCTGAGTGAGGTGGAAGGAAGTTGAACTACTGCAAGTGATTCAGAACAATATTTTACCACTCTTCATTCAAACGCTTCGAATGGATAACATTGGTTAGTCGGTCTTGAGCAAGCAACTTTTACTCAGTTCCTTACCAACCAGTTCCTTGAGCAAGCAATGCAATCCTATACTCAGTTCCTTACCTACCAGTTCCTTACCTACCATGTCTGCCACCTATAGAATCAGGCACTAACTGTAGGTCAGAATGGGAACAGCAATCTACGTACCTTCCATACGAAGATTTGTGTTGGGTAGTAACAACAGGAAAAGCCTGCAGCGAGCTTCACTAGCTACATCCACTGCTTGAGTACCTCAGCAGCAGCAGCGTGGTGTAGTGTAGTGTGTAGGAAGTACCGTACCCACCGAGGTTCGTAGGTCATAGCATCAACTACCGGTCCAGCAACCGAACCTCCGCCATGCCTTCCCGTCTGGTTGGGGAATACCAGACGACAAGCCTGGCAGCTCCGAGCCTCTCCAGGGAGCAATCGAGGGCATAGGTTGAGTCGAGCAAGGTGGGAGCAGCGAGGGGAGCCTTGGCATCAACACCCATGCAGGCATCCCAGCGACCCCTCACTGGTCCAAATATCTGCACATGGGGGGGGGGGGGGGGGTGGGGGGGAAGGGGAAACGCAAGGGCGCATATTGAATCGAGCAGGGTGGGTGCAGCAAGAGGGGCCTTAGCATCCACACCCATGCATGCATCCCAGCGACCCCTCACTGGCCCGAATATCTGCAGGAAAGAAAAGGGCGGGTGGGGAAGAAGGAAGGAGAAGAGGAGGGAGAGGATGGGGAGGGGTGAGGAGGAGGGGGGAAAGGTGAAGAGGAGAGGGCATCCACACCCATGCATGCATCCCAGCGGCCCCTCACTGGCCCGAATATCTGCAGGAAAGAAAAGGGCGGGTGGGGAAGAAGGAAGGAGAAGAGGAGGGAGAGGATGGGGAGGGGTGAGGAGGAGGGGGGAAAGGTGAAGAGGAGAGGGCATCCACACCCATGCATGCATCCCAGCGGCCCCTCACTGGCCCGAATATCTGCAGGAAAGAAAAGGGCGGGTGGGGAAGAAGGAAGGAGAAGAGGAGGGAGAGGATGGGGAGGGGTGAGGAGGAGGGGGGAAAGGTGAAGAGGAGAGGGCATCCACACCCATGCATGCATCCCAGCGACCCCTCACTGGCCCGAATATCTGCAGGAAAGAAAAGGGCGGGTGGGGAAGAAGGAAGGAGAAGAGGAGGGAGAGGATGGGGAGGGGTGAGGAGGAGGGGGGAAAGGTGAAGAGGAGAGGGCATCCACACCCATGCATGCATCCCAGCGACCCCTCACTGGCCCGAATATCTGCAGAGAAAGGAAGAGGAGGGCGAGAGGAGGGTGCAATCGAGGAGGTAGTTGGTGAGGCGGAGGGTGTAATGAAGGAAGTAGGTTGAGTCGAGCAAGGTGAGAGCAGCGAGGGGGGCCTTGGCATCCACACCCATGCAGGCCCCTCACTGGCCCGAAAATTTGCCGAAAAAGGGAAACAAGTGGGGGGAGACAGGATGGGAGGGGGATGAGCGGGAGGGCGAACGAGAAGTCAAGGAACAGGAGCAGGCCCAAGAAAAGAGCGACAATTCTCATCAGTACTTGACATAACATGTCCCACTCAGTTCAGTCACACACCTGTTGTTGAAACGACAGCGAGAGCGTCGGAGCACCCCGCTCCTCTCTCCTCCAGCCTGCTGACGTGGCACCCGACGCCACTGCTGACGTGGCATCCGGCGCCGGCGCTGACGTGGCGGACGCAGGTTTCGAGAGGTTGTAGCCGGCAGCAGAGAGGGAACCGCAGGTGAGCGTGGCATTGAGAAGAGTGTGGTCGAAGAGAGCCCGCTCAAACATGCCCAGCTGTGCAGTTACCGCTATGGATGCGAATAAATCGGTGGAGAGCGAGGAGAATTGAAGCAAGGAGAGCTGGAGAGCCTGGCGAGTTCTCTTTGCTTCCTCCTCCCCTGCTGTCCCTGCTCCGTTTACCCCTGAGCTAGACGCCTGGCTTTGCGTTGTGGTGTTGTTGCTGGTGAAGTTGCTGCTGCTGCTGGTTGAGATTTCGGAGGAAGCCAGGCCCCCTGCAAGGAAGGGGAGTGGGTGGGAGAGAATGGATGTTAATGAGTCGACTCAAAAACCATGTTGCCGCTGTTGCTACTGCTGCTGGTTGAGATTTCGGAGGAAGCCAGGCCCCCTGCAGGAGAGTGGGCGGGCGGACGGGGGATGGGTGGGGAGCATGCATGTGTGTGTGTGTGGTTGGATCTTGTGGGGAAGGCAAAGTTGAAACTAATCAAGTTTCAAAAACATTGAAATTGTGCAGCACAAGGAAGAAACGAAAGAAAGAAAGGGGACAAAATAACAAAGATAAAAACACACAGGATTCACCATCAGCTTAAAGTGGAGAGGAAAAAGAGAATGATTCAAGAGGAGAAGCACGAATAGAGAGGATAATATAACAGCGATAAGACTCACCCGGCACGGCAGAGAGGGTGATGCGCGGAAGAGGTGCCAGAAAGTTGAAAGAGAGGGTGGGAGGAGGAAACGGCAGGAGAAGAGGGAGTAGAGAGGAGTAAAGAGGGAGATAACAGCGATGAGCCTTACCAAGCACAGCAGAGAGAGTGATGCGCGGGCCAGTTGTAGGATGGGGTAAGAGGAGAAGACGAGGAAGAAGAGGGAGTAGAGAGGAGTAGAGAGGAGTAGAGAGGAGAGTAGAGAGGAGTATAGAGGATAGTATAACAACTCACCCAGCACAGCAGAGAGGGTGATGCGCGGACGAGCTGCCAGCCAGTTGTAGGAAGGGGTAAGAGAAGGGGATTTCACAGAACCTGAAGAGATTGTAGAGGAGGGCGAGGAGGATGAGGAAGAGGAGGAGGAGGAAGAGGAGGAGGAGGAAGAGGAGGAGGAGGAGGAGGATGGGAACAATGCATCTGATGCTGCAGCTGATATTGAAGAGGAGGACGAGGAGGAAGGGGAGGAGGAGGAAGAGGAAGAGGAGGAGGAGGAGGTGCAGCTTTGGCAGCTTCCTTCTGTCGCCGCCTCTTCTCACATCGGTCCTTCCACACGGTGACTTTCCCCTCCAGCGACATGCCTGCCTGTGCCCGCGTGCCTGCCTTCGCCCCCCACGGCACCACCAACGAGACCCCGTGGCCTGGCTTTAAACTCTCCTGAGAGTGGGAGAAACGGGGGAGCAGGGAGGGACGGGTGGGAGAGGGAGGGACGGGTGGGAGAGGTTGAGACGGGTGGGAGAGGGAGGGACGGGTGGGAGAGGTTGAGACGGGTGGGAGAGGGAGGGACGGGTGGGAGAGGGAGGGACGGGGGAGAGAGAGAGACAATCAGGTGCTTTTTAACGCTTCTTTCTGTCGCCGCCTCTTCTCGCATCGGTGCTATATTGTCGGGGCGCTCAAGACCACGCTCTTCCCACATCGGTCCTTCCACACAGTCACCTTCCCCTCCAGCGACATGCCTGCCTGTGCCTGCCTGCGTGCCCGCCCTTGCTCCCCATGGAACCACCAAGGCCCCCCCGTGCCCCTGCCTTGCAAGTTGCACTCTCCTACGTGGCAGCGTCCAGTAGTTTTGGTCAAACGAGCCGCACCTCTTCTAGCCTTACCTCTGGCCTCCCTCCCACATGCTGCAGGACGAAGCAGTAGTGCAGCCCTTCCCTTGTGACGAGGCAGACTTTTGAGGCGCCTAAAAAAACTGGCCAATTTTTGAGGCGCCTCAAAAAACTGGCCAATTTTTGAGGCGCCTCAAAACTGGCCTCCCTCCCACATGCTGCAGGACGAAGCAGTAGTGCAGCCCTTCCCTTGAGACGAGGCAGGCGAGGTCAAGGGAGAGAGAGCACGGGGCAGCGTCCAGTGGCTTTGGCATACCAAGCAGCAGGCCTTCTAGTCTTTCCTCAGGTTTCCCTCCAACGTGCTGCAGGCCGAAGCAGTAGCGCAGCCCTTCCCTTGAGACGAGGCAGGCGAGGTCAAGGGAGAGCGGGAAGGGCTGCACACGAGACCGCATTTTGAGACGTCTCAAAAGTCGGGAAGGGCTGCGCACGAGACCGCATCCAGAAGCTTTGGCAAATCGAGCAGCAAACCTTCTAGACTTACCTCTGGCTTCCCTCCAACGTGCTGCAGGCCGAAGCGGTAGCGCAGCCCTTCCCTGGTGACGAGGGAGGCGAAGTCAACGGAGAGCGCACGGGGCCAACAGCACTTCTGGCCTCACCTCTGGTTTTCCCCCGACATGCTGCAGGCCGAAGCGGTAGCGCAGCCCTTCCCTGGTGACGAGGGAGGCGAGGCCCCTTTGGCAAAGCAGCACCACAATCAGAAGACTGAGGATATCCTCAAGAGGTGGGAAAAGGCCTTACCTCTGGCCTCCCTCCAACGTGCTGCAGGCCAAAGCGGTAGCGCAGCCCTATGATGAGAAAGACGCAACCAGGACGCTGCGTCCTGCGTCTGGACGCAGCGTCCGGACGCTAGGACGCAGGACGCGCGTCCAGACGCAGGAAGCACGGCGAAATGTTTTTCGGGCAGCCCGGAAAAAAAATCGATTGCGATTTTGACATTCACGATTTCGACGCGAATGTCGAATTCGCAAAATTTCGACTCCCCAAGCCCAATTCGCCATTGTAAACCAGCACCCCTAGCATTTCATAACAATTCATGCAAAATGTGTGTGTGACCTTGTGAAATGTGTGACGCATGACTCACCTTAATCTTAAATTTTGGGAGAAAAATTTGTGGTTGGGGAAAAATTTGCATCGAAAGTGTGGTAGCCCCCCCCCCCCCCCCCCCCTCTCCCAAGCCTTATACAGTTTTTTTGGCCTGCCCGGGGGTTTTTTTGCCCTGCCCGGGCTTGCGTCTTTTGGTGGGTCTTTGAGGTCCAGGTTCTGCGTCCTGCGTCTGGACGCATGCGTCTGGACGCATTCGTCCAGGACGCAGGACGCGTCTTTCTCATCATAGGCGCAGCCCTTCCCTGGTGACTAGAGTGGCGAAGTCCAGCGAGAGTGCACGGGGCAGCGTCCAGCAGCCTAATAGAAGCAAGATCTACATGAGGTGCATAGCAGCAGCAGCCTTTCTAGACTTACCTCTGGCTTCCCTCCAACGTGCTGCAAACCGAAGCGGTAGCGCAGCCCTTCCCTTGAGACGAGGGAGGCGAAGTCCAGGGAGAGCGCACGGGGCAGCGTCCAGTAGCGGCCAAAACGGTCCACACACTGCTCGCCCCACGCTGCTCGCGCTATCAAGTCGTGACCTTTCATCTGGGGATGTGTAAAATGACGAGGGAACATGGGGCAGGAGAGAGGGCAAATAAAGGAGTTGGGATCGACTGTCGCAGGTCCAGTAGCGGCCAAAACGGTCCACACACTGCTCGCCCCATCCCGCTCGCGCCATCAAATCGTGGCCCTTCATCTGAAAACGCATGAACGGAACACGGGGAAGGGGGGAAAAGAAATGGCAGTGTTTCAGTCTGAAGAGCGTCCAGTAGCGCCCAGCACGGTTCACACACACTGCTCTTCCCACCCCGCTCACGCTATCAGGCCATGGCCCTTCATCTGAGGAGGAGGCTGCGTAAACAGATGTGCAAAACACGTGGGAACAGGAACTCGAGTCAGCTTATAACAGTCACGCCACGACACGCTTTCCCCCACCCCACCACATATCTCGTGGCCCGTGGGTGGAGCCCTTCTCTCGTGACGATATATGAGGCACCTAAAAAAAAAACGCCTCAAAAATCGTTTTGAGGCGCCTCAAAAATCGCTTTCCCCTCACCCCACCACCCAGCCCAGCTCGTGGGTGGAGCCCTTCTCTCGTCGTGACGAGTGAAGGCCACGCGTACGTTATAACATAACGAGACAAAACCTTTGTTCTTGAGGGGCCTCAAAGACCATTTTAGAGGCGCCTAAAGAATAAATTCAAAAGGGGCCTCAAAAGCAACTCAGCGGCGCCTCAAAAGAGGTTCAGGCATCACAAGAGCCCTGTGTAATTTATGACGCAGCGAGACAAAGCCACATTTCTTTAGGCGCTTCAAGAACCATCTCCGAGGCGCATCGCCTCAAAAGGCGCCTCAAGCAAAAGAGTTTCAGCCTTCACAAGAGCCCCGAGTACCTTATGACGCAGCGCGACAAAGCCTCTGAAACCCGAAACCACCTGAAGCCACCCCTCCACCCTCCCCATCCACCTCCTCCCCTCCCCTATATTTGTTTTTGTATGAAACCACAAGAGCCCCGTGTACCTTATGACGCAGCGAGACAAAGCCTCTGAAACCTGAATGAAGCCTCTCCTCCACCCTCCCCATCCCCCTCCTGCCCTCCCCTATAACTTTCTTTGTGTAAAACCATAACCCGTGTACCTTATGACGCAGCGAGACAAAGCCTCTGAACCCTGAAGCCTCTCCTCCTCGCTCCCCACCCCCCTCCTTCCCTCCCCCCTTTTTTATTCACTGTGTATGAAACCACAAGAACCACGTGTACCTTATGACGCAGCGAGACAAAGCCTCTGAAACCCGAAGCCTCTCCTCCACCCTCCCCATCCCTCTTCTTTCCTCCCCTACATTTGTTTTTGCATGAAACCACAACAGCCCCATGTACCTTATGACGCAGCGAGACAAAGCCTCTGAACCCTGAAGCCTCTCCTCCTCGCTCTCCACCCCCCTCCTCACTCCCTGCCACAGCACCGCCTTCCCTCCTTTGTCGTCCCATCATCTTGCCCTGAAGAGCTGCCGCCAGGCCTGCAAGAGTGCTTAGCTCTGCACTGCCGCTTAGCCAAGTCTGCTTCCCCAGCGCAATGCGTGTACGGGCCGAGAGCGCATACATGGAAGGATCCTGGAACCATCCTGAGGAGGAACTAGAGCAGGCCTTAGCTCTGCTGCTGCTGCTGCTGCTGCCGCTGCTGCTGCCTGTGGCGGTATCAGTCACAGCTGCTGCTGTTTCTGCTGCTGCGTGCTGCTGAAAATTCTTTCTCCACATGCGTTGAACTCTCAGCCGCCCCATTACTGTCGCCCACCTGATTGCAGAGAAGTAAGAGCGGTAAGAGGGGGTGAATTAGGAAATATGTAGGATAAGGTAAGATATGGCCAGATATGGTAAGGTAAGATGTGGCAAGGGATTGCGAGAGAGCGTCAAGATGGAGAGGGGGAACAGGGCCAGGCTTGCTGGCTGTTTTTATGGAAATATAGAATATTTAAAATACACCCTGCAGGGACCACCAGTCACTCATAATAACAGTCATTTAATTCAGAACAAAAGAGATGCTACATCACATTACTGGGTTGGGGTGTTTGTTTCATTATACCAGTCTCTGCCGCCCACACCAGAGAGCACGCGGTCAACCACCCATCCGCCTTGATCGTCCACGTCAGCAGCATAGGATGGCGTGAAGGGGACTGCCGTAAGGGAGGAAATAAGAGTAACGGACGGCGTGGACGCGCGTGGGAGAAGAATGCACGTTAGGGAGAAAGAGAATGCGAGTAAGATGATGGATTTTTCGACTAGGCATAGGAAGGGAAGCGGCGGCTGATTGGACGTAGATGAGATGACGGATTGGATGACGGCGGAGGGGGGGGTTGGGGGGTGGAGGGAAGTGCAACGAGAGGGTGATCCACGGAAGTTAGGGGAAAGGGGGATTGAAATTCCAATTGCTGAGACGGAAAATAACGGGTTTGATTTGCAGGAATGGGAGGAAGGAACTAGCAGAACTAATGATAAGTGTCAGGAAGCAAGAGGAATGACTGCTGAGTGTAAGGAAGGCATTGGGTGGTAACGGCAAAGAGGGAGAATGGCTAAGTGAAAGGAAGGCTAGGGAGAAAAAAGGGGAGACTTTAGAGTTGACTAAAAAAGCCACTAAGGCTAAGGAGAAAGAAAGGGTACTTGGTAGGAGCTTCTGCAGGAGCAGCAGTTGCTGCGATCGCGCGATTCCGCTACCCAGGTGAATGCCGGTCGAAGGGGGCTCGTTCGGGACAGCGGGAACCACGGCTTCGAGCGACTGCGCCGAGCCGCACTCGTGGTTCCAAAACTGCGACGCGATGATTGCGCGATTCGGCAGCATGGCTGTCAGTGGCCGCTTTGCTCTTGGGAAGAAAAGAAAAAACGGATCTAGTCTTCCCGAAAGGCGATCCAGTAATTCTCTTTCGGAGCAAGTGCAATCACGTACACGATTAATTCTTCTCGCATCGATTGAAGAGCAGCACTAATCCGACACAGGGAGATCGCAACAATTCAAACACGAAAACAAATTTTGGAAACATGCCTGACAGATTCACAAGGTGGCAAGGGTTCGGCCATGAAAAATGGCGAAAACGGTGAAGGTCAACCTGTGGCCATGGTGTAGCTAGCCTAGCTGCATTGTGGAGGAACAGAAATTCGCGTGGAAATTCCAACATAGAAAATCTGGTCGCGGTACCCACACTCCAAGGACGTGCACAATATTTCGCGAGTGTACCAAACTTTGAGAAAATGACTGAGTAACCTTCTTCGCGGATTTCTCAGTCAATTTCGTGAAGGTCGAACTGAGTTGAGTTTCGCACAGAACAGCGCACCCAGGTTGTGTTTGAATTGCGCAACCCACAATGCTGGGCACTTCAGAATTGCGCGGACTAGGGCTCCGATAAAAGCAGACGCAAGAAGAGGCCTTCGTAGGCCGCCTCAAATGCCAGAACGCGCCCCCCGTCCGTGCGCCATACCCGAAACCGTGACGCGGCCGTCACGCGAAACAGAAGCAATGCCGCATTGTGGACTAGATTGAGTCCAGAGACGTCTCAAAAGTGGATGCCGAGTGGATTTTCTAGAATTCTCACGAGAGCTGCGCTTTTAGTCGACTCAAAACAGAGCTGCCTCGAGAATTTGGAGAACTTGCATAAGCTCGAATTCTCAGTCGATTTCTCTCGCATATGAGCTCGAATGCCACGGAAAGAGAAGGAGCCATCGCGCGCCTCGTTAACAGCCGCTGGGAATGTCAGCAGCAGCGGTGTCAGTAACATCAACAGCAGCAGGAGCGCCAGCAACATCAACAGCAGCAGTATCAGCAGCAGCACTGGTGAGAGCAGCCGCAGCAACAGCAGCAGCAGCAGCAGCGGCGGAGGAGGCAGATATAGCGGCGATTGCAGCCCATGGTTCAATCATATTATCAGCTGGTTCAAACGGATAATCAGCCAATTATCTCTCACCCTCACAATGCTGTTACCAAGCAGAATCCCACATCAACCGGAATTAACCAGGCTCATTGATGCTGTTCCAGCGAGGTTACTACCCAGCAGCACATCTGGCAAAATGGCAGTTGGTATTTCCGCTGCTCTCGTGTTGGCCTTCCTCCTCTCTCCCATCTACTCCTCCTCCTCCCCCTCCTCCTTCCCCTCCTCCTCCCCGTCCTCCTCCCCCTCCTCCTCCCTTTCCTCCTCTCCCTCACCCCCCATTGACCAATCACCTTCATCCACGTCTACACGCGACGACCTCTCCATCCTCCTTGACAGCAATCTTGGGGACCAAAGTTTTGCGTCTCGGGCAGATTCAGGCAGGGAACGCAAAGAAGATGACGTGGCTGGTGATGATTGGTCGCTCTACCCTGATTTGGGTGAGAGGTGAGGAGCAGGGGTGGGAAGTGACTGGCGGGAAGGAGGTTTTGGGAAGAGACTGAGGGATCAGGTACTGGGGAAATGGGGGCACGGGCTATGCAAGGGTCCAGGGAGGAGGAGAGAAAGGGGAGATGGGACGAAGGGAGATAAGAAACACTTATCTATTTTGCTGTCTGAGAGGAGATGAGTGGCGGTGAAAGACAGAATTCGGAAAGAATGGAAATGTACCATAACCTTTCCATGAATTTCCACCCACCCACTGGTTTGCCATGAGAAAGAGAGAATGAGAGCGAGACACTGCACTCCTTTCCCTCTTCTCCTCTGCTCGCCTCTTCCATTTCCAGTTCCCCACAGCTGCGTCTGCTGCAGCAGCACAACCGGGACACGGCCTATTGGCTTGAATACATGGACAGGCGGTCAGTGAAGGGGGAAGATTATATATCTTCTCCTCTTATTGAACCCCTTCCCTCTTCTCTTTCCAGTTCCCCCCTGCTGCGTCTGCTGCAGCAGCACAACCGGGACACAGCCAACTGGCTTCAAGACATAGACAGGCGGCTTGAGAGGGATGCAGCACACCTCAGCACCGTACTCGACCGAGCCATACAGCAACTGAGCGAGGAGAGGGATGAGGCAGACTCCCAGGCAACGGTGGTGGATCAAGCGACAGCAGAGGCGATTCTGAGAGCTCCCAGCATAGAGGCGGCGTCTGCGGTTCTAAGAGACATGCAGGCAACCACTGTTGACCTGAGGAAGGTTCCAGAGAGGGAGCAGGGGGAGGAGCGAGATAAGGGGAGGGCAGGGGCGGAAGGGGCGGAGATGGGGGAGAGTGGAGGGGAGAGAAGAGGCGGGAAGGAGGGGATGGAGGGGGAGAGAAGGGACGGAGAGAAGGGGCCGCTGGTGGAATGTTTGGAGATGTATACTCGAGCTCAGGGGCTGGAGAAGCGGTTTCAAGCAGGTGCGTGAGAGGAATGATAATTCACACACGGATATGATAGGGTTTGAAGATAAGGGAGAGAAGGGGCTGCTTGTGGAGTGTTTGGAGATGTATACTCGAGCTCAGGGGTTGGAAAAGCGGTTTCAAGCAGGTGCGTGAGATGTGTGAGTTACGGGAGTTCAGAATTCTGAAAAGCAACTTTAGGAGTGCTGAGGGATCTGAATTGGTGCGTTGCATTCGATTATAAGATGCTGTGCACTGGCTTTTTTCTCTGTCATTGCGGCTCTGCCACTGCTTCCTCTCTTTCCTCCCTCATCCCTTCCCCCTCCCCCATCCCCCCTTTCCTCTCCCCTCTCTCCCCTCTATCCCCTCCATTAGCCCTGCAGGTCTACCAGCAATGGGACAGGGAGGTGGCAGTGAGGCAGTTCATGCTGGGGCGACTCAAGGAGCTGGACGGGTACCGGCCGTTGCTGAGGGACCTGGGGATCAGTGCTGCCCAGGCCAACGCCACTGCCGCAGCTATGGACGCTAAGAACCGTGAGTTGTGAGTTGTGGACGCTTGAGTGTTGTTCACGCAGTGACAGCCAGTGGCACTGCAGCAGTTCATGCTGGGGCGACTCAAGGAATTGCTGCGACGGGTACTGGCCCTTGCTGAGGGAGCTAGGGATTTCTGCTGCCCAGGCCAACGCCACTCCAAAGCAATGGACGCTAAGAACCGTGAGTTGGGTTTTTTTATGGGTCGGCAGCGACTGAGGGAACTGGAAGCGTACTGGCCCTTGCTGAGGGACCTGGGGATCAAGAAGAAGCGCCTTGAAGCCTCTCTCGTGTGATACCAGCAATTGTATCAATCCCCCATCCCCCTCCCCCACCCCTACCCCTTTTCCACTGCTGCCCACTCGATCTACCAGCCAATAAGACACGGCTCGAAGCCTTTCTCATGTGGTACCAGCTCTACTCCTTCTGGTTCGACCGAGAGGGGCCCGACCATCCGTCCGCGTCAGCATTCGTCGCTGACGCGCAATCCGATCGCAACGCCAGCCTGGCACGTGCCACGTCAGCATCGACCACTCTCCGGCGAATTCAGGACAGGCTTTTAGGGGATTGCGGGATGCGGTTACCGCACAGTAACTGGACGGCACAACAGGACGAGTTTCTGGCTCGGTTTCACACTGTAGCTGCCGCAGCTGGTGCCGAGCCTCAGTGCATGGACTGGGAGAGGCTCGAACCTGGGTACGAGGATCGGCCGGGCCTGGAGGCTCCATCATACGTCTGGCAAAAAGATCCGGACCTGTTTCCGGACCAGTAACTGGAGGTTCGGGCGCACTTCACCTTCTTGCTTCGGTATTACGGGGCTCTGGAGCGGGTAAAACCGTTGGTGGAGAGATTATATGGGTGTACAAATGGGATGCTGGGCACTGGAAAATTACCGGGCGCTCGGGCAGAGTTACTCGTAAATGTTTTTGAGCCGGAAAAAACCCTCGGGCAGTGGATGGAAATGTGGAACAAAACCGATGCGGGAATTTTTGTCGTGCCAGTATTACCCCATTCCGTGGGTGATTTCCGGGGGTATAATGATCTGGCGTGGATGGCACGGGGCGACCTGCTAGTGCTGCTACAGGACGACTATTTGCCGCCCGAGAGCTGTGATTGGCTGCAGGATTTGCTCTCCACGTTTGTCGCATGGCCCAGGCTCGGAATTGTCGGCTATCGGACGGACAATATGACAAATCTTGCCGGCCCGACAACCGGCAAAATCGTCAGCTTCTGGGCGGATTTGGCTCGAGAGGAGGATGAGGTGGAGAGCAGGAAGAGGAGTGAGGGGAGGGAGGAGCTAATTGGAGGGCTGAAGAGGAGAGACCCGGAGACGGGAGTGGGGATGCATTTCACAGGGCTGGTCACAGGGATGCCTCTGGTGGTGAGACGGAACGTGCTGAGGCGACTGGGTGGGCTGGACGAGGCTGACGACCGGGAGGGTGAGGCAGCTATTGTGTCGGACTGGCAGCTCACAACAAGAGTGTGGCTGTCTGGTTACCAGGTGAGTCAACTCTCTTGCTGTCCTCCACCACACTCTCCCTTTCCCTCATCACACTCTCCCTTTCCCTAATCACTCTCTCTTTTTCCCTCCATCACACTCTCCCTACCTTGAATTCGTACCACCAGGTTGCTCGCCTGCACCTTCGCAAGGGAGCCTCTGGTGATGCTGGTGGCTTTGATCGCATTTCCAGAACTGGTTACCGCCGCGTAACGTATCGCCTGAGTTACCTTGAGAGGCTGAACGCTTCTGTAGATTACAGCGAATACGATGCGTTTTATGCAGATTATCATGAGCAGATAAAGGCAGAGGTTGTTTGGTTGAATAGTTTTTTATCAACTGATTACAAAGCTGGCTGAATGGCAGGGCTTGTGGAACACTAAGGTACCTATCATAACAGAATATGTTACGACTACACAGCATGTAGAGCATTGAAACATGCCTGTATATAACACATTGGCGTTTTCCAGCAGAGGGAAAATGACCCAACAATCTAGTGACCCGCTGCCCGCACCTACGGTAATTACATTTTACTAGTAAGTAATTCCATCGTCTCTTTCTACTGGCAGCAAGCTCTCGTGGATGAAGGAGAATTCTGCACAGAAGTTTGGAAAGTAAGCATTTCTTTCCACATGAAATAGGCGGAAACCCATGTTCTGAATTCCATAGAAATACTTGTCAATTATCCCTTGGGTGCTTGCCCTGCAGGAAGGTGCACCGAATGGGGGGAGGAGATAAGGCAAGAAGGGACAGAGGGACAGAGACGCAGTAAGGAACAGAAACTACGGTACATATATGTACATACATATAAATACATAAATATCTGAACTGGTGGATAGGAGGAACGGAATGAGAGGGGCGGGAATGATACAGGAGGGCAGGTGTTTGAGCCTACTCGAAAAGTGAAACGAGTCTGAGTTTACGGCCAGGTCTGAATGCTGTGAAAATACTGATCGACTAAATACGGTGTGCTTGCACTGATACGACTTAAAAAGGAATAACAGTTTCTCACCAGGAGCAGTGTGGTTTGACTCGTGGGGAGGAGAGTGACATGGAGAGGTGCATGGAAGGTTGAGTGAAAGGACAACCAGACTGAAAGCCCTAACGATCGGTACCTAGTCTTGAGACTCAGCACAGGCCAAAAATGATCCCATAGACTGCAGGATTTAGTACACAACAATGAAAAGACCAAAATAAAGGTTAGAAAAACAAACGCACCCGTGGAATTCGACGAGCAGCTGGCCAATGGGAGGATTCCGCCTGGCAGTGTAGCGTTCCATTAGGTCATCCAAGACGGGGTACTCGCACCCCTCGCAGTCAATCTTGAAGATATCAATGTAATCCCTCCCCGCCTGCTGCATGGCCTCCTCTAAAGTCACAAACGTCACCCCCGGAAAGTGCCGTGTCGCGTTCGCCTTGGTCCGCGACCCGACGAGCCCCGCGTTGCGGAAGCGCATGAACGGCTGGGATTGCATCTCGGCGAGCGTGGACGAGTTCAAGAAGGGATCGAAGGTGAACGGCTTGGCGTGAATCATTATCTGCACGGCTTTCTCGAAGCTGGGATCTCCATGGCTCCCAATGCTGCAAGTGCGCGGGCAGGTACGAGGAGGTATGGTCGAGGAGGTTGACAATGGGTGGTAAGAATAAACAAGACTGCAATCAATTTCTGCACGGCCTTTTCGAAGCAGGGTCTTAGTGGTAAGAAGGTACGAGGCATGATTTAGGAGCCCCATTTCAAGAATGCCTTGCTGCACTTCATTTACGATGATAGTGATAACCTACCCCAAACTCCCTGTGAAAATAGTGATATTTAAGCTGCTCTGTTCACCCAATGACAGCAATTATTGAACTAGTAAGCTCACCTGAAGACACAGTGATATTTAAGCTGCTCTGTTCACCCAAAGTCAGAGATTCTCTAATCAAATAAGCTCACCTGAAGACTGTAATCTTCGGCTTGGCAAAGAACGCCTTCATGACGCAAGTCCACTGCGCAGGCAAACAGCAGACAGAGGAAATGACAGAAGGAAGCAGGGGAGGGGAAAGTGGGAAGGGTGGGACGGAACCGGGAATGAAGATAGGGAGGTTGAAAGAAAAATGGGGGGAGAGCGGGGAAAAGCAAGGGCTTGAACTCAAGGAGGGTTGAGGCAGGACACTTACGTTGAAGAGGTTGAAAGGGGAAAAGGCATTCGATTGGTCTTTTGTGTTGAGAAGCCACTTGTCGTAACTGAATTATCATGATAATGTAACGTCCGTCTGATTTTGTCACAATGCAACCTCTCTGGCAAGGGGCTAAATCAGAACAAGAAAGAACTCGTCGTACGACGAAACGCGTCCCAGAGGAATGGCTCACCTTGAAAAGAAGGTGACAGTAAGGGCTCAACGTGGAACGAAGGTGACAGTAACGGTCCTCCTGGGTGACTTGAACGGCTCACCTTTCCGCCGTCGCCAGCACGGCCGATACGTCGCTCGCGCGGGCACGGGTACGTGGGAACGAAGATGAAGTCCCACATGCGCTTCGGGTCCAAATCCCGCGGCTGCGTTGCTCCGCCGAACGCCTCCGCCAGCACCCCCGTGGCTTCCTGCGACGAAAACCAACCAGGCCGCAATAGCGATTAAACGACGTCGGAATTTCCGATGTGATTATGATATAAAGTCTATCTCGAAGAAAAACGCTAACCTTGCATTATTATCAATAAGGCGAACCGATAAAATGCGAATAATAATTAAGAAGCTCCTATTTAGAATCTGTGTCGGGCTTACTATGTATGCCTTCTCTGAGTCTTGTAGCATTCTTTGCTCGTAAGCGTCGGTGTCGCTGCAATCGCTCGACTTAAACACATCTTCCATCGGAGCGACTGAAGTCGAGAAATGGTACCCGGGATAAGCTGACACCGTACGATAGACGAAGATCCCGGAAACCGTTAATATCCCGACGAAGAGTAACAGGCGCAGACACTTGGCGGATCCTCGAGGTTGCTGCTTTCCCTTGCCGTCCGTTCCCACCACAGCACCACATTTGCAACGCTCCATGGCAGCACTCGTCTCGCTTCGATCTTCTTCTGTCAGGCGAAACGACGTGTTTGGCAATGAACGTCGAACCGGATTTCCCGGCTTCTGGTACGCGTCTGGAGATCCCGGAGACACACTAATTAAGCTTCTGCCTCTAAAAGGAACGTTGTCTCGATCTTCAGAACCCCCAGTGTTCGAGTCCATTCACTTCTAGGACTCGCCTTTAATACCTTAGCAAACTCGTGACTGCCTGTATCAATCCCGAAACAACTACTGGATTAATTTATATAAAGGAGCTCATCCCAGCAGGTTTCATGCAAAGCGTCACGAAGCATCACAGAGCGGCACTCACGATGCCACCATCAACAGACTGATGCTGCAATATAAAGCTTCACCAGATAACCCACGGATGCGACGACCGTTGGCAACAAGCTCTGTTCTGACTTGGAGGACGGGAGGACGGGACATACAGGCGGTAGCGTCCACAACTGGAAAGACCCGCACGAGGCCTGGTCCGGACCAGGCCTCCGAACGGAAAACATCGGGACCGAACCACTAGTACAGTACCAGCTGCCTCACGGTCTGGGGACCAGCAGCCATCACGAGGATTTTGGTGCCCGCGACCGACCCGATGTGCCCCACAATGTTGTTCAGCACCAGTAACCAGCCCCTGCGTGGCACAAGATCAACTTCAGCGATGCCACCGTTCAAGGGAGGTCAGGTCTGATGGGGTTTGACATTCGGGGTCGTGTTCCCGCTTGCTTTGGGACCAATCACAGAGGCACGTTTGGCTGCCAAGCCAATCTCTGTTGAGAGAGATCCGTTGTGCTGTCAGCGGCGCGAACCCAAGCAGTCGGCCTCGCTTTCCTGAAGGGAGGGCATTCTCGATATAACATGCTATGATAGAAAGGACTGCTGGCGGGGCAACCTATATTCTGACGTTTGGAAAACACTGAATACAACCATCAACACCTCGAATAAGGTATTCCCCACATAGGCCGCCCCCTCGCTAGGCGAGAAATTATCCCATTTTAAGCTCTGCCTATTTACAGTTATGTGTTACACTCAAATTGACTGGAACTTCTTCACAACGGGACTTCGTATAAGCTTCCTCTTTACCTTCAACATCCCCCAAACCCCTATCCCTTCCCTTCCCTCCCTCCCAGCCCATCCCTTCACTCTCTCAGCCTGCTTTGGATATCAGGCCAGAACTACTGGAATTCAGTTGGGACGGTCAATTGTTGCACGAATTGCCCCACAAGGCTGTTGAAGTACCCGGGCTGCTCCATGTAGCATGCATGGCCCGCTCCTTTGAAAATCACCTGAGAAAAGTGCGGATGAGAAAACACACACAAGAGTCAGATTTAGTGGGACGGTCAGTTGTTGCACGAATTGCCTCACATGGCTGGTCAAATGCGCAGGCTGCTCCGCGTAGAATGCGTGGACCTTTGAGTATCACCTGTGAGAAGAAGGTAAAGGAAAAAGAAAGGGAAAGGGAAAAGGTGACAACACACATCAGACACTTTAATTTCTTCAGGTCTGTATGCTGGCTGCTCCTTGTAGCCTGCCTGAATGGCCGCTCCTTTGAAAACCACCTGTGAGAAGAGCAGGCAAAAGGCAAAGGTGACAACACACATCAAACACTTGTTATTTCTGTTCCGAGTTGCCTGCATGCATGGCCCACTTCTTTGAAATGTTCAGAAGTTTCCTAAAAATAACCACTTCAAGACAAGTTCAGCCGTACCAGTTTGTGGTTGACAAACAGGCTTGCAAGGTGCTGAGCTCTGTCAGGGTGATCCCTCTCCCCATTCACCACCAATGCTCGCACCTGGGGGTAGCAAGTCAAGAAAGAGACAAGAAGAAGGGACCCAGTGAGCCTTGTACCGCTCTGCACCATTCACCACCAACGCTGGAACCTTGGGGGAGGAGAGGACAGGGAAAAAATTGTGTTCACCATTAATGTTTCTGGAAGGCTTTCTCAGAAGAGAATTCAGGGCAGGCAGAAGAGCAGGTCTGCAATGTAGCATGCACAAGAGCTTCTCTTGGCTGTCCAATAGCTTGTCATACACACACCCCTGGCTGC